AAACCGAAACGCATTACTGCTTCACGGCAGAAATAAGCAGGGCGGTAGTACCTACCCGTGGGGACTCACAAGAGGTCCTACCAGCAGTGGGGGGTGGCTGCCCGGGGTACCTTCATGTCGCAGAGCGCGCGGTGGGGGGTCGCGGCGGGGGTGGCTGCCCGGGGTACCTTCATGTCGCAGAGCGCGCGGTGGGGGGTCGCGGCGGGGGTGGCTGCCCGGGGTACCTTCATGTCGCAGAGCGCGCGGCGGGGGGACGCGGTGGGGCTGCTGACGGAGCGCCAGCCCCGCTCCCGGCGCAGCTCGTCCGCGGCGGAGTACTCCGGGATGAGGTCGCTGGACTCGCTCACTGTGTTCGTTGACTTCGATCTGGACATTAAACAATACTAGTGGTCGCCCTGTGGTCGAAATTCGACCGTAACTAATTTAAAATAGAACTTTAAACATTATGATTCTATTGTCAAAGACTATAACTTCTCTAATCACAGATTTCTCCAGGGCTACACTATAGACAAATAATATTTAAAGACAAACATTAATATAATCTATTCTCAATTAGACCAAGACTTTAACAATTAACAAAAGACTATATATGCGCGTGTGTGTCAAATACATGGTAGTGTGTTTCATGTCTTTTTTAATGATTTAATTTATTTTTTATGCATAATTTAAAAAAAATACATTCCGCACTCCTTCTCTATAAGTGTGGGAAATTTCATACTCCTTTTTTTATTTCTTAGATGGGTGGAAGAGCTCACAGCCCACCTGGTGTTAAGTGGTTACTGAAGCCCATAGACATCTACAATGTAAATGCGCAACCCACCTTGCGATATAAGTTCTAAGATCTCAGTATAGTTACAACGGCTGCCCCACCCTTCAAACCGAAACGCATTACTGCTTCACTGCAGAAATAGGCGGGATGGTGGTACCTACCCGCGCGGACCCCCAAGAGGTCCTGTCACCGGTAAGATTATATTCATTATAACTTAACGATCCCCTTCATTATTATTAAATAAAATAGACCAGTCTCCAAGGTTTTTACCTCTTCGTGTCGTCATCATCCTCGCTGCGGGGGTCGGGACAACTCCTGGCGTTGTCCAGTTCCAGGGGTTCCTCTTCGGACTCCATGGAGCATCCACTGACGCTGTCCAGACTACACCTGTCATCTTCAGGTGGCTGGGGACGAGTTACAACAGAGATGTAGACTTTATTACTATAAACAATATTAGTCACAAGCTGAGTTGACCAGCGGTGTAATATTCAATTATATTTCAAAGTTTTTTTATAGCATTTTATATATTTGCTACAATTCCTAAATCTTTCCATTCCAATCCCAAAAGAAGGTTCATATTCTGTGAGGCACATCGCTAGACCACTACTTCTTCTGCTGTTGTGAGAAATTAGAAGAAGATTCTCCGTCAGAGTGACTGCTGTGCCTCAAACAACAAAAGAGCTCCTACTCCTGGGATTTGAAATTAGAGATGTAGGTCTCAGTGGTGGATTGGTTACAGTCTCCCTTGTTATAAAACATTTTGGCACTTCTGATTTCAGTTTGAAAAGGAATTTTTGGTGGAAACACCGGGAGCTCAGTTGTGTGAATTGTTTTATTTTGTTAATTTAATGTTATAGTAAGCGGCACGTGAGTTGGCAAGGTTTTGGTGAAGTGGGGGTAATGTCGCGCATACTACACATTGCAACAAAAAAATAGTCACTTTTATTACCCGCATATAATTTAATTCAATTTTATAATTTTTTTTATTTGCCATAATTTATTTTTAAGCATGTGTGTTTAGAAAGTTAAAGAAAAGAGAGGAATTCGTGAAGTGTATTAGGTGTTATAAATAAAATACAATTAAAAGTTAAGAAGTTTATTTAAAAAAATATACTTAATATTAAAAATTATGTGTCGCCGTCGTCACTATCATTTTCTAATGGTGCTACCCCTTGGATTAAATTTATGGTAGCACCTGAGCTGGTGGAAGGAGTTGGCTCCTCATCGTCGACATAACGAAGAGTCGCTGTCGTCATTGGCGTAAATAATAAAACGCTCAGTGACTGAATCGACTATATGGTATTTGGTCCTGGCATTGCAAACAAACTTAAAACGATAACACTCGTAACAAAAACTAAATTTAAAACAATAATAACAACTCGTAACAAAAACTCAATATAAACAAAGGGTTCCTACAACTTTAATAGGCGCATGTGTAATCGGGAGCGAACGGAACGGGACGCGGTGCGGGAGGGAAGGGTCGACTGACGCACCAATCGCGCGCTCGGAACGGTGCTACGTCTTTCCCTGCGTCCCGCTTGACAACCAAAGAGACCTAAAAAACGACTTCTGCGCATCTAGCGACTCTTGCCAAGTTACGTGCCGGGGACTATACTTCAGGTTAAATGTGTAATAACGGTGGTTTATTAATTATTTAGAAACTGTGTTAGTGCACAAATGTGGGAAAATGAAATAAAACTGCTCGATTTAGCTTCTCGGGTTCTACCAAATAGTCTACTAAAGTCTCAGTACATATCCACCATATTATAAAGACTTTATTTCATCCCGTCTCATTCCGTTTCATTTAATTTCATCCCAATTGATTAAAATCTCAAATTAATCAAGTTACTCTCATTTTTCATATTAAAACAGAATAAAAGAAGAAAATATAAGACTTGGCTTAAAGGCCTCGCGGTACCAAGCCATAAAATATTTTAAAACAACAGGTTTTATTAAAACGCAAACATTCCTCCGCGTGGGTTTTCGTTTACAAAAAAATATATAAGCACCGTGCGAACAAGTACTGTTATGAACACACAACACTACAATATGACCTATTGTTGCGTGAGGTGAGAAAAAATAACCAACATTGTTGATTTTTATTTAGTAACAAGCGACCCGCCCTCGCTTCGCTTCGGAAACTGTAATTTATTATTGATTTCTCCACTATTTAATGGATGTTATTATACATATAAACCTTCCTCTTCAATCACTCTATCTATTAAAAAAAAACGCATCAAAATCCGTTGCGTAGTTTTAAAGATTTAAGCATACATAGGGATATAGGGACAGAGAAACCGACTTTGTTTTATACTATGTAGTGATAGTGACTAGCCGTACTCGTCCGCTTCGCTGGGCATTTAAAATTAACATTATTATTTATTGTCATTATTATTAGGGAGTCCAACACTCATATAAATATTAGGCTATCCATTAAGTACATGTATTTTCTACATGGATACCAAGTTTCAAGTCAATCGGATGCAAGGTTCAGTAGTTATAACGGAACATCCGTAAAAACTACTGTAGATATTATTAGTATAAAATATTCGATCATTTCTATGGGCACTTTTATTTATGCTTATATAACGTTATAAGATGATGGTAGCGTCATTTATTGGTTAGATTTTATTTCCATGACCCAACGTGTTTTCGGGAATGTTCCAAATGTATATTTTCAGATTATTCAAAATTAATTGTGGCACTCACCAACTGTATCTTCCGCCGCTGTATGCTAGGGCTCCGCGGGGCGGTGTGGCAGAGCGCCACGTTTCCCGTGTAAGGATCTAGCAACGCTTGGTACGTGGACCTATCTTCCTGAGTAGAAGTGGAAATCACGTCTGGAGACTCCAATTCCTAGATTAGGATATAATTACGTTGCATTAAGCCGGGCATAACACAAGATCTCTTGTTTACTGGTGGTAGGACCTCTTGTTACTGGTGGACCTCTTGTGAGTCCGGACGGGTAGGTACCACCACCCTGCCTATTCCTGCCGCAGTAATGCATTTCGGTTTGAAGGGTGGGGCAGCCGTTGTAACTATACTAAGACCTTAGAACTTATATCTCAAGGTGCGTGGCGTATTTACGTTGTAGATGTCTATGGGCTCCAGTAATCACTTAACACCAGGTGGGCTGTGAGCTCATCCATCCATCTAAGTAATAAAAAAATCCTGAATAGAGAATAAAGACTACTTTAAGATATTAGTATAGTTATAATAGTTTCAACAATACTTCGGCCGTAGAGATTTGGGGGTAGTTTTAAATTTTCCGGTCATCTCCCTTTCTGCTAGCACACCACCGACCCATCGAAGCAAAGTCAGTGCTCACACTACCACACCCACGCCGTCCCTCATAGGACCGCATCCTCGGTTTCCTCAATGCTATGACATATTCTTCTTAATGCGAAGTTTCTCCCGACAAACGTCAAGAGACCATCGAAGATGCTAGACCAAGCCAAGACCATTACTAAACAATGGCGATCTACTGTGTACTCACATTGCGCAACCCCACGGCGCTGGACATCTCGATCGGCAGTTCGAAGTTAGGTATAGAGCGGAGGTGGGACGGAGACTCGCACCATTCTGCCACCTGATACAATACCACTTTTATAAACGTGGCTTGGTGGGTACCACACGGGCTCAGTTTTACTGACCTATGTATCTGATTCGTAGCTGGTGTGAGGTCGTGTCGTAGCCCAGTACGGTAGACTGTCAGTCTACTTTCTCCTGTCTTTCTATAGTACAATTTTACTGAGACCTCTGGCGTATCCTTTAAGGTCAGAGAAACATTGCGATATCTATAGACTCTGGTGTACTGTATAATGATTATCCCACCATCTATCTACTGGTGGTAGGACATATTGTGAATCCGCACAGGTAGGCACCACCGCCCCGCCTATTTCTGCCGTAAAGCAGTAATGCGTTTCGGTTTGAAGGGTGGGGCAGCCGTTGTAACTATACTGAGACCTTAGAACTCATATTTCAAGGTGGGTGGCGGCATTTACGTTGTAGACGTCTATGGGCTTCGGTAACCACTTAACTCCAGATGGGCTGTGAACTCGTCCAACCATCTATGCAATAAAAAAAATTAAATAAAGTCTTATAAAACAAATGTTAGCATAAATGCCCACCAGACCAACTACAATTGATAAGGTTTATACCGAGAAATATCGCATCTGTACAACTTTACGCCTCAAATATAGAGATGTATTTATTAAAAGGACTATGTCACTACTCACCCCACTGTGGTATTCCTCTTTCGGGGTAACATCGACAGCTTTGATATTGCACTTTGGCGTACTTTGACTAGAGAACTTTTCGAAATGTATGGCACTGTTATCATTCAAAGTTTCTTTCATATCACCGTATTTCGGTTTTATTTTCCTTCTCTCGTGTTTCTCGATCCTCGCCACGTCCGGTGGCAGGTCCAGGGTATCGTTTAGAATCTGACTGTCCGCTGTGACGAAGTTTTCGGTGAAATACAAATTGTTCTTTGACGTATTCCTCTGCGGCGAAAAGAACGTCGCGCGCTCATCTTCTATACTAGACAGACTCAGGTCTTTTTCATCTTCGATTTTATGAACTTTTTTCGGTATCAAATCTGGGAAATTTTCATCGGGACTGGACAGGCCCATTAAGGGGTGTTTCGTTGTCAGGGTGAGGGTTGAACTCAGCTTTGGGGGACTTATGCCTAACGAGTGTGGCCTAGTATTAATTTTAGGGGAATCCAGGTGAAGATTGGACATTTTATGAATCAAACTGTCGTTAAAGTTTATTTTATCGTGGTCTGAAAACCTGAGGATTGTTTGAGGGTTCTGCAGACGGAGAACGGTGTCTGGCTCCCGCTCGTCGCAGTCTGAGGACAGAGCTGAATTAGGAGTGTCCTGTGACCGGAAGGATTCGGAGCCTGTGTCCATTCTCTCGTCTGACGACGGCGATGTGAGGTCCTCTTCATTCGTCCTTATTGTGGTGAAGCTGGTGGAATAGTGTTAAAGTGAATCAGAGTACTTTTGATCACATAAATTTGCAATCGGTATGTCTTAAATACGGTCATATCTCTACACATTGTCCTTTTTGATTATGAATGTCGTTCACACGCTTTGTTTAGCTTTGTTTGTATGAATTTGACGTAATTTGAATTCAGTTATCTGTCGCTGTCGGAACCAAGAATGATATAAATTATACAGACCTAAAAGTAATATGTTTCATACAAACTTACAGGTGGTAGGACCTCTTGTGAGTCCGCGCGGGTAGGTGCCACCACCCTGCCTATTTCTGCCGTGAAGCAGTAATGCGTTTCGGTTTGAAGGGCGGGGCAGGGGTTTGTAAATATACTGAGACCTTAGAACTCACATCTCAAGGTGGGTGGCGGCGTTTACGTTATAGATGTCAATAGGCTCCGGTAACCACTTAACATCATGAAAAAAGTACTGGGGATGCGACTAGGAGTCAGCGAGGCACACGCTGGTGGTCGACCACAAAGCCGTAACCTACCGACCCTAAACGACATTGAGGTCGACTATTCATTTATCAAATAGCGAAATTTTTAATAATATCTGCTGTTTAAATACTAAATAAACACCCATAAATATCAAACCGAACTAACAATTGATTTATTTTTTGTTTTCCTGTCGATAGGCTGCTCATGATATTAGAACGAAATAATTAAAGCTACCATTACAGTTTAATTTCGTCGACATTATTTACATATTCGTCATTTTTACTGGTAGTAGGACCTCTTGTGAGTCCGCACAGGTAGGTACCACCACCCCACCTATTTCTGCCGTGAAGCAGTAATGCGTTTCGGTTTGAAGGGCGGGGCAGCCGTCGTAACTTTACTGAGACCTTAGAACTTATATCTCAAGGTGTGTGGCGCATTTACGTTGTAGATGTCTATGGGTTCCAATAACCACTTAACAGCAGGTGGGCTGTGAGCTCGTCTACATACCTAGGCAATAAAAATAAAAAAAATTAAAGTAGGATATTATTTGGTGCTTTTTGAATAGCTTTCGTGGTCAATGACGAGACAGAGATTGAGCCGCAAAAATAATTTTAATATTTCATCATTCGCGAAAACCGAAAGATAAATATATTAGAGCGATTTTTTTTATAGCTTATATGGTTGGACGAGCCCACGGCCCACCTGGTGTTAAGTGGTTACCGTAGCCCATACATCTACAACGTAAATGCCGCCATCCACCTTGAGATATCAGTTGTAAGGTCTCAGTTTTAACAGTACAACGGCTGCCCCGTTGTTCAAACCGAAACGCATTACTGCTTCACGGCAGAAGTAGGCAGGGTGGTGGTACCTACCCGTGGGAACTCACAAGACATCCTACCACCAGTACAAAGTTAAAACAAAACGTCGTCAAATCCCCGAAAATTACGTTCAAAAATTACGCTACGTTTTTTTCCCACCTAAGCTGATAGCCTCGAGAGGCTATTTCAGCTTCTCCTTGACGTGTAGGTGAGCTCACGGGGCTCAAACCGGGTGTGTTGCTAGCACTGACCCTAGCAAGAGCAGTGCTTCGCAGAATCTACCACCGGATCGGAAACGCGACCCACTGAGAAAATTCGGCGAGAAACTCAGTGGGCGTTACGCTACATACAAACAACCACACACACAAACCGTTAAAATTCAAAAACTGTGAATCCACAGTTTATTCGTGTTCTGTAATGTTCATCACAGCACAGCCAACGTACAAAAGGGGGCGCTTTTTTTTCTTTTTGAAGTGAAAACTTCTTTAGAATCGTTGTGATTTCAAACCGGATGCAACGGAAAAAACGACAGGTAAGAGACACAAATACAAAAATGTGTAGGATGAAGCCAGCAAAGAATGAGACAGAAATATACATACTATTTAAAACAGCGCCATCTGTGAGATTTTTTAATACTAACGTGTGTATGAAAGCTCTTGTACTGAATTTTAATTTAGGATTATACGTGAAATTAAAATATCAATTCACAGAGGGCGCTACCTTACAATTATTTACTAATGACAAAATTTTACATATACTTAAGACGTTTAGGATAATTGCATTTTAATTTTGGAAGGTTTCACTTCTACCACGTGTGAATTGCACACATGTATTTTTTTTCCTACTTAAGCTGATAGCCTTGAGAGCCTATTTCAGCGGAACCTTAACTAGTAGGTGAGCTCACGGGGCTTAAACCTGACGATGGGGGGCGCGACGATCGCATCTACTTTAGAAATTAGAATCTAACGCTAGTCCNTTTAGGATAATTGCATTTTAATTTTGGAAGGTTTCACTTCTACCACGTGTGAATTGCACACATGTATTTTTTTTCCTACTTAAGCTGATAGCCTTGAGAGCCTATTTCAGCGGAACCTTAACTAGTAGGTGAGCTCACGGGGCTTAAACCTGACGATGGGGGGCGCGACGATCGCATCTACTTTAGAAATTAGAATCTAACGCTAGTCCTCATGAAGCGTGACCAAATTCACTACCTAACAATAAAATGTTAGAACGTCTAGATTCACAACGATAATGTCAAGGTTTTCCCCCCAACCGACAACTGCATTAGAACGCGTTCGGACACAAAAAATGTTATTTTGACCGAAGCGTGTATGTAGGTACATAGCGCGTATCAGCATACAAACATCACTATTAGGTATTTTTTAACGGGAAAATTGCATGTTTTGTACAATCTATTATATTTATTTACGTTACTGCCCAATAAATATTCGAGCCTGATCTAATAGTCAGAGCTGCGCTTGAAGATAGGCAGTACCAGTGTCTACAAGAATCCGACGCGCAGTTTTCTACTAAGATGTATTTCTTCATGAATCATCATTATCCTGCCCTTCTCCCAGTCACCTGGGATCGGCGCAACATGTTTTCTCCTTCCATACTTTTCTATCATATATCATTTCTTCGCTCACTCCCCTCTTACACATATCGTCTTTCATTTCTTCTTAGGTCTACCTCTTCCTCTATATCCTTCATCACGCAAAAATACCGATCAACCGATTTTTATCGAATATTTTTAGCAGTATTTCAAACGTGGATGCTTTAGAATTATTATTTTTTATTTAAAACAATATGTCTAGGAGGGTTATGAATGCACGTATTGGTTGGAGTAAGTTTTGTTTGGTGTGACTTTCCCAAGGCCTTATGTGGTCTTGTCATGCCATGCGAAAGTAAGACAATGGTGTTTTTAACGACACGACTATGGCCTTTCAAGCTTTCTTTTCATTTATTGTCATACTAAATTAGGTCACAAGATTATTTTATTGCTGATGCGTCAATTAATTTACAATATCGATTGAAGAACTAGGCGGTACGGCACCACGGACATGCCGTGGAGGGCGGTTTGTTCCATAATTTAATGAAATACGCCAAAGCATATCACGCAACAACAAAATCACTGATGTTTTTTTTATAGCTTAGATTGGTGGACGAGCTCACAGCCTACCTGGTGTTAAGTGGCGTTACTGGAGCCCATAAACATCTACAACATAAATGCGCCACCCATCTTGAGATATAAGTTATAAGGTCTCAGTATAGTTACAACGGCTGCCCCACCCTTCAAACCGAAACGCATTACTGCTTCACGGCAGAAATAGGCGAGGTGCGTACGGACTCACAAGAGGTTCTACCACCAGTAAAGTATCCAGCTAGTATAAAAGCAGTTTGTTTACCACAAGTCAGAGCCGGATTGACAATGTATTAGATATGTCTAAATCAACCAGAGCTGCAGTCATATATTGACAAACAGCGAGAACTTAGTTATGCACGTGATCAATTAGTTGAGGGAAATACAGCTTCAAACCTTACTACTACTTATATGGAAAAAAGCTGAATCAATAGATTTCATTGACAAGGCCTAGTATCTACAGGGATGTAAAACCAAAGATTGTTTTAATCTTTGTTTTAAAGACAATATTATTGAATTACATTGATATTTGTTCTTTATTTACTTTATTTAATAGTAGTGAAACCACAGGGCTCAACGTCACAATAATAACAGAAAAAGTATGCTGACTCGTTTTTACAAGGTCAGTGAATTGTTATTGATGAATATTAAATAGAAACTTTTATTTGTATTATAATAGCATATTTTTATTACTATAAACCCATTTTCTTTTCATAAATTTGTACTTTATAATTTTTCGGATTTTTTTACACATGGACATCAGCAAAGACAAGGGCAGAGCCAAGCCGCTACCTACTGTTTAATACTCTCCATGAGTCTCATTTGAAGCCAGATGGTATGTGGCAAAAAATATCTCTAGAAACGCACTGTGGATGGATGCAATGACTCCAGGTAATATGGACGAACTCTGCTCCAGTGGTGGTCAGTGCTATGTTAAAAACGAGATTATGGTATCATCTCAAACAATTCCTCAGAGTACTTCCCCATGGAACATATGGTACAAAATACCGAGGGAACAGAAATCTCCAGACACAGAGGTTCCAAACGATCAGTGAGAATGGGATTATCGACAATTCGAAGGGCTCTCTCCTGTGTGGAGTCAAATGGAAGTAACTGGTATTTGGGAGCCCCCGCGCAGAGGTTTTAAATACTTTACATTTGTGGAAACAGGGTTTCATTTATAGCATCGATATAATAATTAAATAATTATTTTATACTATATAAAAATAAGTATATATTGACTTATAATTTTAAAAAATTATAAGTTTACATATCATGATAATAATTTCTTTATGACCTAGCAGTAATGTAAATGTAAATCAATAGTCTTGGATTTTTAACAAACTATTTTAATAAACTACTATTCGGTAAACCAATATAGAGATATAATCAGTCTATTGAACAATTTCATCTTTAGTCATTCCCATCTAAGGGTGTGTTATATCTCACTTTTTGCTTTACCAGTTTTCAATAACCAACAGTTACAAAAAGAGGTTATCATGAATGTTTAGCTAACTCCATATATGACAATTTATGTTCAATGTGTAATGCAAAATTGGGCTTTCAGATAATCTAAAAATATTGATAATATTGAATTTATTGTTGTTAAAGTTTGTACTCTAACACAGACGAAAGGATAAAGAACAAATTGGTATGCGTTTACATTTAATTCATTCACTGACTTACAGCATACTTGCTATTTTTCATTCCAGGCAATTATTTTAAAAATACCTAAATGTTGTTATTGAAGGTTTCAAGAGATCAATCAGAGTCTTGTCTGCTTTTAATAATCTACTTTTTTTTGCTTTTTGGAAATTAAAAAAAAAGGTATTTTTATTTTGTTGTAAAAAAAATTGTCAGTCAGAGTCAGTAAAAATTATCAATTTAGTATTTATTTTTACTGATGACTGCTCCTGCTCCCAACCCTCGCAGGTGAACAGAGCAGTTTTGGCTCACAAAAACTGAGGAAAATATTAATTATTATCCTAGTAAAAATTGCTATTTTCACTATAAAAATTTTGACTTCACCTATACCTCAAAGCTGCATTCATGTTGAGGTCTATGGGTTCAAATGCTCAGTTAGCACAGCATGAGATATGAATTTTCCATCGTGAACAATAAAAACATTTACTACATAGTTCATTTTTCTAACTACTACTTTTCAAGCCATAATTCGTAACACACACACACATTAAATATAAGTAAAATTTTAAATTCTAATATAATTCAGTAATTTATAAATAAAATTTTTAGTAGGTAGATGTGATACAGTTTGTTTCGCTTCTATTAATTATAAGTAAATTATTGTTCATCATTTTGGTTTTTGTAAAACGACTTTCTTCGATACCTGTCGATTTTCCTTTGCGTTCATATATTTATGATGTATTCGCGTTTACAAATTTCGAACGAATTAATGAATTATAATATTTTTAAATTCAGCTCTTCTCAAACCAGGAATATAATAGTAAATAAACAACTTACCTCATCTGTGACTCTTATAGACCTTTGTTCTTAAGTTTCTAAGCAGAAAACTATTTATTTTGTATTTTAAATAATATAAACAGAGAAGCGATAGGTAACTCGCTTCGCTTTTTTTTCACCCAGGCAGGGGGGTGCAACTCCCATACAAAGGAAAAGAACATTCAACTAGCGTCATCTTTAGGAACCGGCGAGGTCATTTTTGAAACGTTTTGGCCTTAATGAACTAATAAATTCACTAGATGGCAGATACGAGTTCTGACTCAATAAAAAAGGTTAGCGTACTTTGAAGCAGTGCTTCCACTTTTAGGGAACTCTCCCTTTTTTAGGGAAAAATAGCTGATATTTTGGATGATAAAGACAATTTAAAAAATACCAGGATTTAGGAAATTTCGGGGTAAAAAGCAAAGCCTATACTAGTAACTGTTGTGAATTTTAAAATAAACGATAATTAAAGTAAAACAATGAACATTTTATTTTATGGAGAGAGAATGACATTAAGTCGAGTTGACAAGTAAAAGAATAAAAGAGAGTTGTGTATAAAAACTATAAAGAAGGTTTGATTCAACAGTAACCCTCTAGTAAAGTAAATCATAGATTAAGCCACTGCTTTTTTCTTAGGGATTCCCCAGAATCCCAATAAGTATAATCCGCCAAACTTTTATTTACCTATTTTCGTTGATGTCACCAGAACTTACTTGTATTGTAATATACAAGTACTTCATGTACCATGAANGATGTCACCAGAACTTACTTGTATTGTAATATACAAGTACTTCATGTACCATGAAAGATTATCATGGTAATTTCATTTACGAAAACCTTGTAATTGTCATTTCACTTTTGCTAGCAGTTCCTTCTTCAAAGACTGAGGTGGAAAGATTATTCAGTGTTCTCAAATGTAAAAACTGACAAAAGAAACAGGCTTTCTAATGAAAGTTCCCAACTTTGCCAGCAAACAATTGCTCAATTTTAGAACCGAACAGTGTTAGGTTGCGTGCAGCAAAAGAATATAAAAGCAATGCGTCGACTTCCTTGAAAATTCTAATCCTATAGATCTATGATCTTCTGGGGGCGTTTATATTATATATACCTACATTAAATAATATGCTGTGGTTTATTTTCTGTATTTTANGGAATTTCAGCGATTCTAAACGATAAGATTTTTTCATAAAGAGAGTTATTAAAAATATTAAAATTACTAAAAAAGCCACCTGGTGGGGGGTAGGGAGACTAATAATCGACCGTAGCGACGCCTGCTGGACCGGGCTTTAACTAAAGCAAAAATAAAAATGAGAGTTGCGCATCTATCTCGAATATATTAAGTGTATAATCTATGCACCCAGGTTCCAATTTCCATCCGTTTAGCGTTTGATTTGACACACTGCTTGACTTTTGACAAGTGTGAGTTTGACATTACTAAATCTATGCAGTCATGCCACATTAGCCATTTCAAACATAATGAATACATAATCATAATCAAGATATACATATATATACATATTACATGTACTAGAAAAATCTCTTTCGTTAATTGTTATCAAAAATACTTTGGCGGGAATTTTACGTGTAATTTACGTTATGTGTGTATGTATCAATTGTTTGATTTAGTTACATAATTGTTTTGATTTAAATGTGGATCAATAATTGTTTCTTTACTGCTAGTTCTTATTGATAGCTTAGCATCTCTGGAAGATGTGTTATATTTAAAAATCAGATGGCTAGGCGTAGCTACTTAAATTCTTCCAAAAGGTCCATAACACTCCGAAAATTCCCAAATTCCCACTCAGATGTTCTTTCATGCCGTATCATTACATTTTTTGTAGAGGATAACAGAGACATGCAATCGGCTTTGTTTTTAAAATATTAGGCTGTATAAAATGGATCCCTTAAGCGTGCTAATGTACGAATCAAGCGCACACATTTTATTATGAAAATATTTTGTGATTTTAATAATATTTATTTTTCATTCCGAGGCACAATAATTTTTTTTAAGTTGCGTACTTTTTTTTTAAATTGCATACTGGTTGAGTGAACGAGCTCACGTCCCACCTAGTATTAAGTGGTTCTCATTGCTCGACATGAGTAGACCGAGTGATATTAAACGACGACACTCATCACGACGGCTTAACTTTTTAAACACAACAAAGCTAAACACGCTGGCCAAATCAACAGAGGTTTAAAAATAAAATTCCTAAAGCTATGTACGCTACTTTACTTTCTAATATAATTGTTTCAGCAGACAAACTGTTAAAAATTAACTGACTCTAGATCAAAACTCATTCATTCTCTATGTATTTTATCAAGAAAATAGCCCCGCCTACAGTGCCTTTTGTTACGTTAATGAATGAATAGAAGGAAAGAATTTTCATCAACATTTTGTTATTTTTCCCACGGGTTTCCGTGTTGAACTTGTTACGGGTATCGTTTGTCATAATATTTTTATGAAATCGTGTATAACTGTATTTGTTTCCGCGAAATGTCACATTATTACGAAATTCATTGAAGAAACAAGGCGTTTTAACATTTAGTTACTGTGAGTAGAAACTTGTACTTCACGAATATAGTCTTAAAAATGTTATTAGCCTTTATTAACTATTCAAAAAATACTATTTTTCATTTTTTTTGTTTTTACTTAAACGCAACAGTCCAAGGTTTCAATCATAATGTCGTTATTTTAGACGCATTTGATAACCGTTGCTATTGTATTGTTATTAGACTACCGTGTTGATAGTTCGTGTGTCGCCACTAACTTTTAGCGACATTAGTTCTATTAAGCCGGTTTCTAACCTGCTACTTCTTGGTTATTAGACAAAGCAACGTATGTTATCCATCCAAATTTTTGAAATCGTTGCTACTTAATGAGGGTTTCTTATGAAATCAATAATTATTTTTCTATATTTTTTTAAAGATGGCTGGCGTTCTGAGAATACAACACGGGAAGCAGTTGGGAGCGTTGTTTATGTTATGTTGTCTAGTTTTACCAGCTCTATCCGCAGAAGACGTTAGCTGTGAGTGGAAATATTTTAAGTAATGTCAATTATAGTATTTCCCCGCCGGTTTTTGCGAGTCGTCGATTTTATATATTATTTTATATATATGATGCCTACTGTACTAACTTTTACACGTGCAGCTTGTGGGCTGGATATACTCAAAGATCGTACAATGCTCTCCGTGTTCAATACAATAACACGTTTAGGGTGCTGGTGGTGCTGCCCCGCTTTTGTAGCGCATCAGGGATGTTTGCAGACGCGCACATAGATTGTTTCTACGCTACCATGCGTAAGAGGTGTGCATCTCTGGTAAACAGAGTGAGGGCCAGCTCCAACAGTATCCTGAGCATGATCGCAAGCAGGCTGGACTGTATATACATGGGTCGCTGTGGTGCCATNCGGCATAACGCTCAACGTTGAATGTTCCAACTACAGCAACTCGAAGCACAATCGAGCACTCTCAAAAGTACTGCTCTCGCATGATACTCGCAATCGATACCGACTCGATTGTGCTTCGAGTTGCTGTAGTTGAAACATTCAACGTTGAGCATTATGCCGCATAATGCGCTCTTGTGCTGTCATTGGAAAACAGGATAAAATGTATCTAAAGCATTTGTTTGCTCAATGGCCTTTCCGTTGAACATATTTCAGAAGCTGTCACGCATTCTGGTTTGAAGGATTGGCGGATGTCCTTATACGATACAAAGCAGTTCAGACCCTGTAGTGAAAAGGTGTGGCGATATTCATGCAGTGCTTGTGGTCTCCTGTAACCAAAAACAGCAGGTGGACCATGATCCTACCCACTCGTGTAGGCAATCAGGGATTCAAAGATTCTTAGATCCACCTACATATATCGGCTCCTTGGTCAAGACAAATGCCCTAAAAACAGCTTCAATATTGTCGAGTCATATTAACAATGCTTCCTCAGATCAAGCCTGCGTCGATAAATACTCCAGGAAAGGTTACCAGCCGTGGCAAGAGTGGTCGGATCACTACACGTGCCACCGCTACAGATGCGAGATCAGAGACGGGAAATACTTCATAGCTGCTGTCGGGTGAGATTGTCGGGTCGTGTTGTGGGTGCCGGAAACGCCAATTTCTTTTATTCTATTTATAAGTCCGGAGCACACAGACATTAAAAACTAAAATGCTGCCCTTACGATATAAGACATTGAAACATAAGTTCTAAATCTCAGTTATATACTACAATTACTGATCCAAGCCTTAAAGACGGCCAAACACCGGTTCCCATATGCCGAGACAAGACCCAGACACCGAATTCCAAATACCTAATACCCAGACCAGGCTTCAAACGAGAATCTGGTGCGGTGATCAGAACCATCAACATTTATAAAGCACATAAGAATATGTAGCGCCGTGGTGGTATTGTTTAGCGAAGCATTCGGTCTGGAAGATCAGACCACTCTAATGCAGTGCCACTCAGCATCATCTCAAAACGAACGACAGCGGCGAAGGTGATGTCACCATTTCTCAAATACCCTTGTAGGAAGACAAGCATACCGCTCACCTGATGGTAAGTGGTTACAATGGTTCATAGACGTCAGCAATGCCATGGGCATAACCAAGCCACTGCCTACCGCAGAGTGCTGTCCGCAAAACTCGTTTGAAGAAGGACATGTGATAGCGTTGATGAGACACGGTAGGGGTGAGTTCATCCCGAAGCCGGACGATACGTGCCTAAAAAGCTCTCTGGAAAAGCACTGTGGATGAACGGAGTGGGTCTAGGTAGTGTTGGTAAACTCTGCTCCGGTGGGGGGCGGTGCGATGCTAAGGGGATGATGGGATCATCTCATACAATTGCTCAGAGTACTCCCCATGGAATATACGGCACAAAACCCAGAGAGAACCAGAGAGGTAGTAGCGTGTCTGTAATTAAATACTTTCCAGATGTCGAAAACCAAAAATACCGGAAAACGCACTGGAATGCCACGAATACATCGAAGACGAGAATGTCGGTATGTGATGGGCTTTTTACTTCCAGTACTAACAGCATAATTGTCACCCCCTTATCTTAAATGAATTAATTTGCTTTGTTTCTGATGAATTACATAAAATGATCTGTACGATTCGTGTGACATATTGAACTATTAAAAATTGAATAAAATGTTTGCAAGTGCCATCAGTATAGCGGCTACCCTGCCACAAACTGAAATATCTGGTTGATTTACGGTAGGAACAAGCACGACAATGATGTCCAACAGTCACCATCATAATTGCCTATTTCTGCCGTGAAGCAGTAATGCGTTTCGGTTTGAAGGGCGGGGCAGCCGTTGTAACTATTCTGAGACTTTAGAACTTATATCTCAAGGTGGGTGGCGTATTTACGTTGTATGACTCCAGTAACCAGGTGGGCTGTGAGCTCGTCCACTCATTTAAGCAATAAAAAATAAATAAATAAAAAGGGAGAGCTAAAAGATACTGCGGAAGGTTGCCACGACTTATTGATACTTATGCTGCAGTTTCGGGTTTTTATAATTTCAACTTGTACGGTAATAGTACTCTTTGAGTAATGGTAAACCATATGTGCGTGCAGACTCAAGCGGTGCCAGGTCAAGGCCACGCAGTACTGCACTGACCAGACACACTGTTGTCGTTTAACATGCCCCAAAACCTTAGATCTCTGGGGTTGTTCCAGAATTCCCCACGTGCTGTGCGCGATTGCGTTGCGTCGTCGAAGTAAATGGAGAGAGAATAGTGCAAACCAGAGGGCAGCCTGGCGAACTGTTCCCCGATAAGTACATGTCTTCATTTTTTTTTTACTTTGGGCGCAAATTCCGCGTCAGACTTTCCGCGAATGTCTGTAGCATGCAACAAAGCAACACACATCCCGTGCTACTCTCTAAACCACCCTCAGTCGACTGTCTTCATGTGTCGCAGACTCATTCGCGAAGCAGCTGCGCTTGAATTGTTAGGTCTCTTTCGCAGGCGCTCGAGCAGCTGTTAGCTAATACCGCCCCTCCTGGCTGAGCCTTTGCTCGCCTATCTGTCCTGATTAAACTGGAGAGGCCTCCAGGCAACCAGTAATCCTTCAATCATAAAAAAAGTGTTGCAGAAACGTAGTCTTCTAGCCTCGACCGTGTAGTTTTCACTTGTCGACAGCTATGAGACCATAACAGAAATGAGGAGATCAGTAGAAGGTTGCTAATATGGCCCGTAGGAGCTTGCTAAGCTGAAGTGGCAGTGGGCAGGTCACATAGCGCGAAGATCGGACGACGGTGGGGCAGAAAGATTCTTAAGCGGAAACAACGTACTAGCAAGCGTAGTTTAGGACAGCTATCTGCCAGATGGATGGATGGACCCGGCTTAGAGAGGACAGATGTTCAGCAGTGGACAGCTTTAGGCTAACAAAAAAAGGCAGCTACCCAATTGAATTTAATGAAGATATGAAAATATACCCGGATACGTGTTTCCGTCAAGATTTATACCGTAACCACGTTTTTCATAAGTAGTCAAATCGGGCTATGCATCTATAGTACTCATGTAAGCCCGTCCTTTAAGCTCGAATGTAATTATTCAGTCAGCCGTATGTTATTCATTTTTAAGAATTATGTACACACCTATGTGGTATTTAACTCTTCTAGACCATGGAAGGGCCAACAAAACGAGCCAAATCCTGCTGTTGTCGGAATGAGCGGCATCCAGCAGACACCGGTCGGTGGCGAGCCCCAGGGTCAGGCGTCTCCTGGAATATTTAACAGCAGAGGAGCAGGTACAGGAAAGAGATAATTTATCAATATCAACTTCAGAGATCGTTCAAGAAAGAATTTACAAGTTAATGGTCAATTACCTTTGTGCTGCCTTCTGTATTTATCATTACCCTTTGAATTTATGGTGTTCAGTAGATAAATTTGTATTGAGTTTCAGTTATGGAGGGTAGAGGTAAGGAAAACCGTCTTATATGGGAAAAGCTTTTTTTTTTAATAATAATAATAATAATAATATTTATTCAAGCCTCTTAAAATACAAACACGTTCAAAAATTCTTAACACTAGTATAATAATATACATGGCTTTTTTTATGAGGTATACAATAACAATATTCCCTGACTTTTATGCTAGGAAAACCTGTGTTACAAAAGTCAGCTTGAAAAAGTGTCCCACTTTCAGCACTAAATAACAGTTCAAAAATCCTCCAGAATGGCGCTAGCATAGGCAAAGGGTATGATATGAATTGAGCCGTTGTTAACTGATTGAAGTATGTTGACTCAGGATATTTATTAGTGACAGTAATAAACAAGACTTCACATGTTTACGTAGTCCAAACTAATTTCGTCACTAAAACCTAAAATTATTGCTGTGGTAAAACGTAGAGACATCGATTGCATTATCCTTTCAGCTTTAAATAAAATACTTTTTGTGATTTTGTAGTGCTTACAGTACTTTCGTCTTTTTTTATTTCTCTATCTTATTCCAATAAATTTCAGCGCCTTTTTTTATAATTTACACGGTTGCTACTGTAGCGCCACCTTTATTTAGCAGATTTTAACGGACACTTTTTCACACACAGAGACGGTTCTCCTTACCTCTACCCTCCATAGTTTCAGTCGCTGTTGTAATTAATCTACCCGTGAAACATTATTGATCGTGGCGTTTCATTAATATAGCCAACGTTAATCCCGACAGCGGATGGCAGCGATATTAGCAGCCGTCGGTTTATCGACTACCCCGCGCCGCAGATGCAGGACAGCCCCCGACGAAAGCGCTCCACAGTGTACCCGCTGTTTGACAGAACGAATCGGGAACATAACTATCAAAGTCACCCCGTCAAAATAAACGGATACACCCCCGAAAAGTACACTTCGTATTTTTCCAATAACGTAAAGAATTTGTCTAATTTCAATCCCAGACTATCGCTCAATCTGTCTTAATTGAAGTCGTAATGCAAACGGTACTATATCTACCGTTAATGATGTTATTTGAATTATAAATATTGTATAAGATTCCATCTATTAACTTACGTACTTTGTCGTGTAAAGTTTCTTTATTTAGGAAATAGTTGATTGTATAGAAATAATGAATTAAAATTTACTATTTATGTTACAAATGTAAAAATTAAATAAATATAAAATAACATTTTATTGGGAATTTTTTATTGATGAACGGTACAGTCTCCGAAATAAGTACTTAATTATTTAGTACGGTTTCCTGGAAAAATGTACGATGTTTCTTTAATGTCTAAGAATTTATCTTCTATTATACATTTCCACGTGGAAATAAATGATTTATAGACTCAGTTGTATTTTTCATTATTACATCTAATATTCGTTAAAATTTTACACACACATCGGATTACATAAGTAATACATACTCTAGTACCCATTAATTATTGTTACTGCCCATCAATTTACCGTTCCGGGAACTTTGAATTAAATCGATTTTTACAGAGCAAACACCAAACTATTTATTGAAAGACAACATTAGTCTATCTCGGGCTGGGGCACATACATTCCAACAGGAACAAGCAAATTGTGTATTTATTCTACTTTTTTCGTTGTTTATTTTGAACTAAGACTTATAGTCAAAAGAGGCTTTTTTTTAAATATACATACTAATCGTTTTGGTGGCAATGCGAGGAGCAAAATGTCTAATTTTGTCTGTGAAATCCACAAATTTGGAATAATGAAACAAAGTCGATGAACGTAGCTTCTTGAGTTTATAAAAATCCATTGTATTCTTAATATTTAACCACCATTTTACTGAGACTGTACTGCATCCCATCTTATCTCGTTTCATTTAATTTTATCTTTATTGATTAAAGTCTAAATCACACAGGTGGACATCACCTCATTTCATTCCATAATAAATATTTTTTCGCTAGATATTATTTTTCCCATTACAGTCTATAAAAATTTTGGCTGTACGATGGAATATCTTCGCTTTTCCTTTCCTGTTGGACAAATGGGATTATTCTACCGTACTATCAAGTCAATTATTGTCAAAGTTGTCAATCTTGGATGCAAAGTAAAACAGAGTAAAATATTTACAGCAAAGTCTTTGATGTTAATTTTTAGTACGAATTATATTATTGTTAATGTTCTCAATGTGAATTTCCTGCTTATAAAATGGTAGAACCAGAAAAACCATTTGCATGTACGATGCCAGACTGCGGCATGACCTTTACTAATGAGGATCATCTGCAATTACATACTAAAAAACACGATATGATGTTACAATTAGGTTTGGAGCAAAAAGCAGCTTTTGTTGGTAAGTTTTTAATTTGTATTTGCTCTTTAATTATACCTAAGTAATAAATTTATGAAGACCGCATAAATACCTATACTTAAATACCGATCAATTTAGGTATAACAGAAGTTAAAAAAAAATGGTAAAAAATGTATTTAATATCTTTTTCATCTCTGAAATCTGCACTTTTACTCAGAGCTACTAAACTTTTAGAAGTCTATGTCTGTTTGTACAATAATCAGATAATTTAAATGATGTATTGATATTTTATTTATTTATTCCGTAGATGGGTCAACCAGCCATTAAGTAGGCATTGTTGATTACCACACTATGAGATGAGCCATAAGTTCGTATGCCTCCAAGGACAATAAAAAAAGCCCAAATTTTCATATGACTAATATAACTGTAAATGTAAAAATAAGTCAAATTTCACCTTTAAATACTTTAACTATGCAGTAATAACAAACTCACCAATTTAAATATTATGGAAATGAGATTACATTATTTTTATTGAAACTAATTAAAAGCTTTGTTAACTATATTGTTTAATACTTCCAGCTGATCAAACCCCAACTCCTACAAGATTTATCAGAAATTGTGAAGAAGTAGGCCTCTTTCAAGATTTACAAAATGACAACCCCTTTGATGAAGGCTTCAAAAGAGCCATGGAAACTAAGTGAGTGAAGCTGTATTGTTCAGATCAGCTATCCCATTTATTTTAGTGAATACATATAATATGTTCAAAAAGTTACTTTTAATAAAAGTTCTGAATTGCAAAAAATATCAAAGGAATATAAAAATTAAACATTTTGCGGTCTAGGATGACCATTATTACTATTGAGACTTCAGTCTCATATTTGAACACATTCACTTGCTATTGTTTCTCCTTTTTTGTCAGTTACTTCTTACTATTATTGTGATTGCTATTTTTATTTATTCATTTTGATGTCAGACACAGCACACTAGTTTATTTCTTTATGTTTACAGACAACACATCTTATCTCTCGAGAGTATCGCAACAATATCGAACACAGATGATCTACATACACCACAGATGGTGTTCCCACTGGAACACACTGATTCGACATTGTTCAGTACCACAAATAACCAGAGAAATATCACTATTAGCAGGTAGAAAAAATGCATTTACTTTTTTTCAAGAAAATCAATTGTAGGACTTTGATTGGTTTTATGTCTTGTTTATTGTGCCATCCAAAAGCTATAAATTGTTTTGAATGCAATTGAAATATTGAATTCATATATGTAAGCTCTGCTAATATCAAATTACCAAACCAAATTAACATAATAATATATTGCATGATTACCAATGGTTGATAAATGTAAACTAATACTAAATCATGAAAATTCATGATTTATGAAATGAGGTGATGCTGAATAGTAAACATAAATTATTATCATTTGCAGATCATCAAGTGACGAATCTGGAGCTATCAAGGAATTTGAAACGACGACAATATCTAAATTAACAAATGAAGTAACAACAATAAGTCGTATAGTCGAGAAACACGATGATAACCGAGTAGATGATTCCAAACTCAAAGACGAGGTCATCAAGGACTCAATTTCATACTCAAATAATATAATTAAAATACATAGTGAAATCCGAAGAGATGATATGAACAAAAATCCGATACAAACATTTGAAGATACCACAAAGAACAATAAAATAAGTGATGTCCCGCCTATAATGAGTCAAACCTCAATCGATTATGTTGTCGAAACATTAACTAATGACTTATGCAATGACACAGCTAACAAACATGATGAAAGTGATAATATAGAAGTATTAATAAGATTGCCAAACGGTAGACAAGTGAGAATGAAGTCAGTGGAGGATGAACCAAAAGTAAACGCTAAAGAAAAACTCAAAAGAGTTTTGTCGGAGAAATCTAAAACTAAAAGTCCCACTATCTCGAATTTAGTACCAATAAGTGGTGGAACACTAATTCCAGTCACCTTAGTAGCAGCTCAACCACAAAAGATACCCATACCACCATTTAGAGTTGCTAGGAATTACGATAAGAAAGCAGTGAAGCGAAAAAATTTAGACACCGGGAATCAGTGTCACAGTGCTTCGAGTGAGAAGCAGAGTGATTTGGACAGTCGCAGTGCAGCATCGAGGAGATATAGGTGAGAAATTATTAACTCTCCATACCCAATCCACACAACCAAACGAAAAACTGTCGCTGTCGCCCTAAACCTTTACTGGTGGTAGAACCTCTTCTATTACTGGGTGGTAGGACCTCTTGTGAGTCCGCGCGGGTAAGTACCACCCTACCGTAGGTACCGCCCTGCCTATTTCTGCTGTGTAGCAGTAATGCGTTTCGTTTTGAAGGATGGGGCAGCCGTTGTAACTATACTTGAGACTTTAGAACTTATATCTCAAGGTGGGTGGCGCATTTACGTTGTAGATGTCTATGGGCTCCAGTAAACACTTCACACCAGGTGGGCTGTGAGTCACCCATCTAAGCTATAAAAAAATCTGTCATTTTGGATCCTCCTGATCTAATCTTGCTGCTTTTAGGCATTACAAGCACCAGTCACCATTCTCATTGTACTTGTCGAACGCGACGAAGGGTTCGTTGTGCAACTTAACCCACAGACCCAGCCCACTAAGTATTTCACTAGGTTTTCTCAGTGAGTGGCAATTTTTATCTGGTGGTAGATTCAGAAAAACACTACTCTTGCTAGGGCAGATGTTGACAAAGTCTCCAGACGGAAAAAAAATGCTTTCAAACCTTATCAGTTTTACTGATAACGTCTTGGCTCTTTTCTACCACAGATTATTAATCTATTCAATGTTCGAGTGTGTAGCTGTTGCCTCTCTCCCACTTCAACCATCATAATAACGTTAATGTACCCCCTTGAGGAATAAGAGGCAAACCTCAATGGCGTTAGCATAAGAACCGTTTTACTTTTTACCCCAAGTTTATGCTTAGGAAATGATTACTTTACGACCCGAAATCCCCACTGATAAATTGAGTTTATGAGCAAGAAGACACAGAACCCCAGTAAAGTTTGGAATGGGGTTTATTTTGTGCTTTCCAGAACTATCACAACTGTCCCTCGTAGCTAACAATTAAAATTGTTCTTTCAGAGCGAGATTAAAAGAGTCCTGGATAAAACAGTGCGAAGAAAATAAACAGCTGAGAGCATCAAATGACAGACTATTGTCGGAATTGACAAAATTAAAATTATTGATAACGGAACACCTGAAGAGATGCCCTAATGCTGATGACATAAGTATGTCGTGTTTAAAGTTTCTTTGTAAAAATGAGGCACTATTTACCTTCCAGAATCTAAAAACCCTGTAACAAATTCTATTGGGGATTTTGCTGAATGTGATCATAGCTGAACTGATGTTAAGTGTGTTACTGAAGCTACCGTACTCTGGCACATAGTGAAAATCGCCACACCCGCCTTGAAACAAAATTATAATGCACAAGTGTTGTTATACTTTTAAACGGGACGCTAAACCGTGACGCTTGGCAGGCTGTGTGGTAGTTTGGGGAACTTAACGACAAAGGGAAGATCTTCCACCGAGCGGATGATATTGCTCGGTAGACCGACGGTCCAAATGTTGTTATTCGGAACTTGTATATAAGCGCTTTATCTTGAAAATGTCGTAAGCGAGATTCAGGCATCTGTCGATTATCTTGCGTTGTATGATGGCTACCCGCCACAGTAGAAACAGGCAGGATGGCGGTACCTACCTACCCGCCACCAGTAACTGCTGGTTGGCGATTTTACTCACAGGAAGCGCTGGGGTGCTGTGCTGAGCCCACGCTAAACAGCCTCTATGACCAGTTGGTACGTTGCTGACTATCCAGCATTTTGAATTACACGTGGGATTTAAGTTCTATGTTAGCCGCTGTACCTGCGAACTAAAGTAAAGCTTTTTTTATTGCTTAGATGGGTGGACGAGCTCACAGCCCACCTGATGTTAAATGGTTACTGGGGCCCACAAACATCTACAATGTAAATGCGCCACCCACCTTGAGATATAAGTTCTAAGGTCTCAAGTATAATTACATACAAGTATAGCTATGGAGTTACTCATAAAATTACCAGAGGGATGAACAGGATGTTTATTGACATACTTTTTTTAATTACAGGTACGATACAAGAAAAATTATAATTATAAATATGAATAAAATGAGACTGAGACAATTTAGTTTTTAATGCAATACCATAGTTTAGCTTAATGTGAGTTCATTAACTTTTGGTTAATGGCGTACAGGGATGGTGAGGTTGTTTTAACATGGTCATAATTTATTGGCATCGGCGGCAGCGGAGGCGGGTCGCGGGTCTGGTCCTGGCGTATCGTTTTCATCTAATGAAAGGGATTTGCTTAATTTGAAGAGTTGAAATCGTGGATAAGAGTTTAACGCATGTAATGACGTGATTTGTGTATCTACAGTTAGAACTAGTTTTATTTTCCTGAGAGTCTTGAGAGGCTATTTCAGCGTAACCTTAACTAGTAGGTGAGCTCACGGGGCTCAAACCGGGAGTGTTGTTAACACTGACCCTAGCAAGAGTAAAGCTTCGCAGAATCTATCACCGGATCGGAAACGCGACCCACTGAGAAGATCCGGCGAGAAATTCAGTGGGCTGTGTCTGTGGGTTAATTTACTCGTCGAGCCCTTCGTCACAAGCGACGGGTTCGACGAGAACGATGCCCGGTAGAACTAATTGAATTGTTCTGACAGATATAAGTTTATTGGATTAAAAGTGCAATGGAGCGGAATGCAGTGATTTTTTTTTAAATGTTTGTACCGTATTTACCGTGAAGCAATGATACGTCCTGCTGAACTCGTCGTGGCCTGCGGGATAAGACGTCCGGTGCATTCGTATGTAGCTATGCACCGGTGTTCGAATCCCAGGCCCGGGTACCAATTTTTCTAATGAATTACGTACTCAACAAATATTCGCGATTGACTTCCACGGTGAAGGAATAAAATCGTGTAAAAAAATCAAACCCGCAAAATTATAATTTGCGTAATTACTGGTGGTAGGACCTCTTGTGAGTCCGCACGGGTAGGTACCACCGCCCTGTCTATTTCTGCCGTGAAGCAGTAATGCTTTTCGGTTTGAAAAACCTGTTGAACTGTATAAACTGAGAAACCTTGGAACTCATGTCTCAAGGTATGTGACGGTATTTACGTTGTAGATGTCTATGGGCTCCGGTAACTATTTAATACTACCGTGAGCTCGTTAACCTACCTAAAATAATAAAAAGATACTGTAAGCTCATTCATCCACATGTCAAAGCCTTAAAGCATCCCAGGATGCAAATTATTTCCCTGAATAGGATTTTGGTGGGAGTCGCGAGTGTTATCATATATAAGCCGCGCCAATAAAGAAACGAATCCAAAATGGCGGCGGCCATCATGCGCTCTCACTCTAAACTATTGCTGTCTTTAGTCGCACACGGCGCGTACTGCATGCAAAAAAATTTATCAGTTCTGACTCTGTTGTTGAGTTCGAGTTTTTTCACTTTTTAGTTGTGCGACTTAGATGACTGGCAGCAAAAATGTCTATGCAAGTTGCATCCCAGATGAGACACACCCCCCTCTGCCAGGGCATAAAGTAAAGTACATTCTCATTTGTTTTTTTTATATTTTTTTTACATTAAACTACTATTTCTTTCTATCTTTCTTTTTATTTGTTGACCCTACAAGTGTCAGTGCAGGTACATAGACGCCATTTTTGATTCGTTTCTTTATTATTATTTTTTTTTAAGAGATTTTATGACCTGGTAACTAAGACCTTTAAGTCATGTCTTATTTTACTTTATATTCTTAATTTTATGAAAAATGATAATATGGAGTGAAATGAAATGAAGATGATTAATTCGAGACATTAATCAACTGGGATGAAATTTAATGAAATGAAATGATATGGGATGAAATATAATCGCAGTAAAATGGTGGTCATTTACTGAGATTTTTTCAGTGGACTTTTTGGAGGAACCCGAGAAGTTACGTCCAGCAGCTTTGTTTCATTTTCCCTCATTTGTGCACTTTCACAGATATTAAACAGTTAATAAACCACCATTATTACACATTTAAACCTGAAGAAACACTAAATAGACAAAATAAAACAAATCACACAACTTCACTCCTCGCGTTCCCGCCAAAAAGTCCGTTTCTTTATTGGCGCGGTTTATACCATAGATTATACATTTAATATATTTGGTTTATACCAAGTGGCCGTATCATAACCGCCGCGCCGGCTGATGTTGCGATTCATCACATGTGTAATTTAGATGTAATTATTCCGTTATTTAAGAATCTTATGAATTTTTAATGAAAAAAAATTATTAATAAATGTTATTGAAATGAGAAATTTTATCTGGTTGTTTTATTTTAACCGCATGCTTGGCGTATAGTATTAACGCGACAAAAGAAGCTGATAATTTCATTATTAACATGGAGACCTGTAAAACCTATTAGTTCAGTGGAAATTCTAATAAAAAAAAAACAATACAACCAAAATGACTGAAACCAAGACATTTCTGATATTATATATATCCTCTTTCTACCCGACTTTAAAAGCTAAAGAAGGTTTGCAATTCAGTTGCGTTTCTTTCTTTGTGATCTCAACTTCGTCATTAATAAACCGCATTAGAAAAATATTTGAAAGTGTACTTTCAAGCCGATAAGATATAAATTTAAACAGAGTGATTGTTGTTTTCAATCAAAATAACTAAAAATATATTATCTAAGTAAATGATATTGCGTATTTGTATTTTTACAGAGTTTGTTGAATCCGTAGGTACTTACTATTGGAGTTTTTATTTTTAGTTTTTCAAGCAATTTTTTGTTAATAACATTTTTATCTTGGAACACTAAACTCATTTAATGATTGTTTTTTAATTGATAACAGAAGAGCTGTCAACGTCTACTAACAAAAAATCGACAAAATCAAACAAACAGACGCAAAGGCGGTTCTTAACTGTTTTGTCTTTGTCTATTTATATCTACTGTCTACATAGACGGTGTATTGCCAAATTGAGGAACACAAAATTGAACTTCAATAATGGATTACAACGCACGTGATGCAGTTAAAAACTAGCAAATGCATGGAATTCGTGGTTTCCAGGGGATGAGGTTGGGTGGCAGGGAGATCCGCCTCTTGCTGCTTTATTCATAACGTTTTTTTTTGTCTGGACATTTCGACTGGTCCATTTGAGTAAATGGAGTGAATGCTATTGAGCCGTTGACTTTTCCAGTTTCACCAGAACTGAAAGGCGCGTACAGACTATGCCAAGACCATTGGGGTTTTATAACAGGTTTAGTTAACGGCGGCTAAGAGACTGGGGCGATTTTGGCAGAAACTACCGTTTTTTTTTTATATAGCTTGGTTGGTTGGACGAGCTCACAGCCCACTTGGTGTTAAGTGGTTATTGGAGCCCATAGACATCTACAACGTAAATGCGCCACCCACCTTGAGATAAGTTCTAAGGTCTCAGTATAGTTACAACGGCTGTCCCACCCTTCAAACCGAAACGCATTACTGCTTCACGGCAGAAATAGGCGGGGTGGTGGTACCTACCCGCGCGGACTCTCAAGAGGTCCTACCACCAGTAAAACGTTCCAATGTCGGCTTAATGAATGATGGGTTCGCGATCTAAATCATCGTCAAGTTATCATGTACTACGGTCAAACGAGGTTTTTTCTACAGAAGCAACGTTCTTAAGTTTGCAGCAAGTGTATGCATGCGGATCCGCGACCTAAGTCACCAATAAGTCATTTTGGGGCGAATGCAAGTTTTGTTATGTTGCATTATCGCGAAGGGAGTCAAATTTCTATTCTAATTTATATTGTTTAATGACGTGTGGTCTCTTTTACACAAGAATAACGATGATCGCTTTTCGTATTTTACGAGAAGACGAACGGTGTTATAAATTCATTCGGGCCACTAATGAAAATACACCAATACAATTCAGTAAAACTAATAAACAAATAGTTTTCTTCTAGAAATAAGTACCTAATTCATTTACAAAGTTCTGTTTTTAAGCATTAGAAAGGAGAAAACCATTACTAATAGCAAACCGCAATATATACTGCTTTGCGGCAAAAACAGCAGAATCCAAATTAATTATGTAACTTTTACACACGAATGTTGGCTATCTGTAGAGTATTCCAAATGTGGAAACGCTCAGGGCCCTTGTTGAATACATAAAAGGAGCAGCTTATTTTAATCTCTTGTTAATTAAATTAAATACGTTATTACATAAACGTGTTACGCTTAATTTATCAATTGTCAATGCACATAATACTGCCGCATAGCGACATAGGCATAACCAATGCTGGGGTGACAGTGCTGTCAAGAATAAAACAAACCTTCACTTAGTAGGAATTTTATTTATTCTCCGTCTAAGATTTTGATAGTTTTTTACCGGTCTCATAGATATACAAATGCATAAATTCCTTTTATAAGACCAGGGGTTGGTTATAGCTTCATGATCCAATTTTTCATGTTCAATGATCAGATGAAGCAGATCCAATTTTTCATGTTCAATGATCTGTCGTTTGTTTTAGTTGAAAGTATTCAGGTCACACATTTGCAGATGCTTATAACCATATGTTCCTTTATCGTATGAGTCGTTCATAAACGTATGTTAACTTTAAAATTATTCTATAAATTGATAATCGAGGGCTATGATCGCACACTTCACAAATCTCAAACAAGTGGTACTTAAAAATTAATAATTCCTAACGTCTTCTCTATTATATCTGTATTTAAAAATGCTCGTGCAATTGGCTTGGATTTTTTTTACAATAATATTTCAGAAAATACATTTTATAAATTTTAACTGTGTTTTTAGTAATAAAAGTATCATTTAAAATATACTGTTATAGCATAATTTTGTTTAGCAAAAAAATATAAAAATTCTACTAAGCCTTGATTCGGAGAATCGGTAGTGGCTATAAATGCGCCGCTGGTAACCCCATCAGTAATTTTTGAGCGCGCGTGATAGTGTATCACTTTGCAACCAAAAAATGTTCATTAAAATCCTCTGACGCTTGTAAAACGCCAGAAAATCGCAAATCATTTATTTATTAGTAAAATAATGATTAAAAAACGTTTATAACATATGTTGTGTACATAATATAATATAGTTTTAGTTTTTAAGGAAAATAAAATGAATTACTGCCGGTAAGCGAATAAAAATACATTCTATAGAATGAAAAGTTAAAAAAATTGGTTTCGCTAGCTCTCTCATTATTTTATGACAGTGAAGTGTCTTAAAATATTTGAACACAGTTATTTATGTAATTTTTAATTATGAAGGACATAAATATAAATCTTAATTAATTCACAAACCGTTTAATTGAATTATATTTCATAGTGTTTTGACGGATTTTAATGGTTTGCGAGTGTTTTCGCTGGAAAATCAATAATGTCTGCGCATACTGCCGACTGCTGAGATCCCTAACGCAGTGTCCCTTGCCTCATACACGAAAAATAACATTTAGACATTTAACTAAATATTGTTACCATATAACAATATTATCTTAAAATTCATACAAGTATTCTTATGGATACTGTAATTTATATCATAACAAATCTTCGAAGTTGTAATTAAATTAAATAAATTAACGAAGATTATTATTTAAATTTTATTAAAATTGTGTGTATCCCATAGGAGCTTTATAGACATTTACTTCCAAAATTTGTTCTAAGACTTGATTTGGATAATTACTTAACAATAGTATTAAATAACTTATTTAAATCCACATTTTTTTGAATTCGAACACAGAAAGACAGTTCAATCCAAACAATTTAAAAATCATAGACGTTAAATGATAAAGTTTACAAATAAAATTTTCATGCGTCGATTTCCCGCCATTTCTCAGCATTTTGACACTGCAGGGATTGGCATTAGGCGCTTACGACTTATCGAAAACTCTCGAACCATGATAGCCTAACTAAATAATGAAAGTAATTAAAAATAAAGAACTTTTTAATTTAAAAATTCACAAAAAATAAAAAAATTAATTATATTTTTATTAAAAAATATTAAAATGCGATATTAAAAATTCTGTATTTTGAAGCGGCTATGGCTGAGCCATCGTTGTTCAGCTGAAATCGATGCGATCATTTCACTACAACAGAAGAAAAACGAAAAATGCGCTGGATATTTCCCGTTCCAGGTAAATACATCTCACATCATACTTTAAAAAATGTAAAAATTAATGAATTGAAGAAATACAGTATACAATAATTTACGAATTCCTCGGAAGAGACGATTGAAGTGACTATTAATTTAATTTTACATATTTAAATTAGAATAAAATTGAATAAATAAGTAAATACGAGAGAAAGTTTCAAAATAATGGTCCAAGGTCAAATTTCATGTCATTTCAAATTTAAGCTCGAACATAAGCGGCAGCTTTTTGCTCAAAAGTTACGAGTATCCTAATTACATCAACTCATGTCTTCAATTACTTTCGAAGGGGCTTTTACCATCCCCTACCTTTCTAATCTGTGTTCTTATAATATAGAATATATACTCCATACTTATATATTATACTAAATTTTTTTTTATTGCTTTAGATGGGTGGACGAGCTCACAGCCCACCTGGTGTTAAGTGGTCACTGGAGCCCATGGACATCTACAACGTAAATGCGCCACCCACCTTGAGATATAAGTTCTAAGATCTCAGTATAGTTACTGGTGGTAGGACCTCTTGTGAGTCCGCGCGGGTAGGTACCTACCACAACCCTGCCTATTTCTGCCGTGAAGCAGTAATGCGTTTCGGTTTGAAGGGTGGGGCAGCCGTTGCAACTAAATACTAAAGAAGGAGTCTTCTCATAATTACAGTTTGAAGATTGTTTTCAATATTTTTGAGTCTCAGCCTTATTTTTAATGATAAGGATACAGCTTTGAAACCGGACACGATTATAATTATTATTTTACAGATTATTTACGTAATTTTAAACGTGCTCCAATTGGTAGCTCTAGAATTAACACGTTGACTGCTATGTAGGTCACCGGTGACCTACGCGGCGCATTGAAGTAATTATGTCGATTTCAGTTACTAAGGATCTGGATTGCCTAACTTTGCCTTCTTTTGTTTTTTAATGTATGTTTCAGTCCATTAGGTCTCTCAGAAATACGCGCAGCGTCTCGCGCGCCTTTCTTAAGGCGTAGTCTCCCGGTAAGAATTGGAAGAAGAGGAAGTCTTTGGTCTTCCCTCTTCTTCTCTGGAGGCGCCGGAGTCCGACATAACCCGGTCTGCTAGAACCTCTAACGATCGGGTATCCGTATTCCCGAGTTAAAAAAAAAGGGTCTCTTAGAAATAGATTCATTCTCAGTATCTTCGGATTCGTCTTTCCCATAGCCTACTAGATATTCCCGCGCCTTAGTAAGAAGATCGAAAAAAATCGACATTACGTCATAGCGCCGTGTAGGTCACCGGTGACCTACGCGGTAGTCAACATGTTAATTGCATGTGAAGATTATATTTCAGATAAAGAGGTAACCTACGCCAATAATAAGTTCCACGTAAATAACTTGTTAAGTCAATATAAAATCTCTACAAAAAGCTATGATGTAACTTAGTTTTGTTATACCATGTATATTTGTGAATTGAATTAGTTGATTGTATGAATCTAACATACTTAACCTGTTAACTTTTGTGTAAATAAGTGTAATTTTTTTTTATGTGTGGACGATCTCACGGCCCACCTGGTGTTAAGTGGTTACTGGAGCCCATAGATATCTACAATGTAAATGCGCCACTCACCTTGAGAATAAGTTCTAAGGTCTCAAGTATAGTTATATAAAATATAAAGTATCTTTACGAGTGCTCATATGAAACTTCTCAATATAGAAATATAATACAATACGTATTTTAATACACTTTTTTGTGGCAATCTATGAAAATTCTTTTTTTTTTTTATTGCCCTTGTAGGCATACGAGCATACGGCCCATCTGATGGTGAGTGGTTACCGTCGCCCATGGACTTTAGCAATGCTAGGGAGAGAGCCAAGCCGCTGTCTACCGTTTAATACTCTCCACAAGCCTCGTTTGAAGAAGGACATATCATAGCGCTCGGGAAACACCGTGGAGGGGAGCTCATTCCATAGCCGGATGGTACGTGGCAAAAAATACCTCTGGAAACGCTCTGTGGATGACCACAGTGGCTCCAGGAAGTATAGATGAACTCTACTTCGGTGGCGGGAGGTGCGATGGTAAAAACGAGATGCCGGAATCATCTCGAATAATTCCTCAGAGCACTCCCCATGGAACAAACGGTACAAAATACAGAGGAAACCGAAGTCCCTCCGCAGACCCAGAGGTTCCAAACGATCAGAAAACTTGAATAAATTACCGGTAGGATGTTTTATTGGTGTTAAATTTGTTTACTGAATCGAATTGTTCACGTAAAGAAACCGTGCCACTACCAATCGAAGGCTAATAAGACATTCATCATGGCAACTATGCAGACTGGACTGCGGTAACCAATAAATTCTGATGATCAGTAAGCTCGTCATACCATTGAAGTCGGCTAAAAGTTAACCGGTGTGTGTTTTTTATTATTACAACGGCACTAGATAGAAAATAGGAGACACGCCGGTAAAAATAGACAGCGGACTGTGAACTCTTGTATCTAGGGCTGCAATCTATTGAAAACTTTTGACAAAATCTATATATTAATACGCGAAGCAAAAACTTTGTATAAAAACATGGTATGTAGTGTGTGTAATGTTTTCTTTATTGATTTAATGTATCTTTTACGCATTATTTAAAAAAAAATATTAGCATTGTGAAGAAGTGTTTCTCTATATCTATATCTATACTCTATACTAATATTATAAAGAGGAAAGATTTGTTTGTTTGTTTGTTTCGAATAGGCTCCGAAACTACTGGACCGATTTGAAAAATTATTTTTCCATTAGAAGCCGACATTGTCCCTGATGAACATAGGCTACTTTTTTTATTTTTTTTTTATTTTTTATTTTTGGTTTCATGTGTGTTTTAATGTTTCCGAAGCGAAGTGAGGGCGGGTCGCTAGTTCTCTATATAACTCCAACAACTAAAATATATTTGCCGTGTTGCCGAACACAAGCTGTCGATGCGTTTCAAAGCTAAAATTGCGTTTAAAAGTCAAACCAAACCAAAAATAGTTCAAAGACGCGTCGTTAAAATACAATCAAAGTTTAATAGTTGTTTTATCGATAAACAAAACTATCGTTGAGTCTCCGCTCTGATGTTCTAGATTTCCTCGCCGCCTACTAGGATTTGTATGAATTGAATTTGGCTTCGATTGGCAAACAGCACGCCTGCCTCAGAGTATCTCGAGGTTTGAGAGGGCTTTTGAACGTTACTATTATTGTCCAACTGAACAAAATGTATCCGAATAGAATCTATATATTAATACGTGAAGCAAAAACTTTGTACCCCTTTTTACGAAAACTGCACGGACGCAGGAGTATGAAATTTCCCACAATTATAGAGAAGAAGTGCAGAATGCTATTTTTTTTTTTTAATTATGCATGAAAAATACATTAAATCAATAAAGAAAACATTATACACACTACCATGTATTTGACACAACACATACGTATAAATATACTCTTTGTGTATTGCACTGAAATATGAAATATAGGTCTATGGTATATTGTCAATTGTGAAACTTTTGTTATTGTTTAAAGTCTGTGGTCAATTTGAGAATAGATTAATATTTCTTGTCTTTAATATTATTTATCTATAGTGTAGTTTTAGTGAAATCAGTGATTATATTGTAGAAGTATAATAGTGTTTGACAATAGAACCATAATAATGTTTAAACTTTTAATTACAATTAATTATAGTCGAATTTCGACTACTGCGGGGATCACTAGTCTATTAGAAATACTCTCGCTATATTAGATATACTGAACGGAAACGCTAAGATGTCTGAAACTTTTCACTAAAAAGTAGCCCAGGAACCTTGCAAGAGCAATCCTAACACGTGTAAAAACATAACAAGATCGGTACCGCGATCCAAGAAATCTCGTCCAATTACATTAACTAGAGGTCCCGCAGTAGTCGAAATTCGACTATAATTAATTGGAATTGTAAGTTTGTACACTATTATGATTGTATTTTATACTTCTATAATCACAAATTTCGCCAAGACTACACTATAAAAAATATTAACAAAGACAAACAATATTTAATCTATTCTCAATTTGACAACAGACGTCAAGAACAAAAGTTTGACAATAAATAGTATGCATGCGTGTGTGCGTCAAATACATGGTATGTAGTGTGTGTAATGTTTTCTTTATTGATTTAATGTATATTTTGTGCATTATTTAAAAAAAAAATTAGCATTGTGCACTTCTTTTCTATATTCTCTATAAGTGTGGAAAATATCATACTCCTCTGTCCGCAAAACTTTCGTAAAAAGACATACAAAGTTTTTGCTTCACGTATTAATATATATTAATAGATTCTCAAATTGATGTCGCGCACAAATGCTTTAGTTTTTAATTTTAAAATATAATATTAGTAAGAACGGGTTGTGTTATTGACGTGGGCTAGTAATATTTCTGTCTCGATAAAATCCGGTGTTCGGTTTAATAGATACTAATGTGTTTCGGTGGGTGCACTTGTCTTTTTTTTTATTGCTTAGATAGGTGGACGAGCTCATAGCCCACCTGGTGTTAAGTGGTTACTGGAGCCCGTAGACATCTACAACGTAAATGCGCCGCTCACCTTGAGATATAAGTTCTAAGGTCTCAGTATAGTTACAACGGCTGCCCCACCCTTCAAACCGAAACGCATTACTGCTTTACGGCAGAAATAGGCAGGGTGATGGTACCTACCTGCGCAGACTCACAAGAGGTCCTACCACCAGTAGATCTAGTATATACATAGTATCTGTCAAATATCTTGTGTTGGACGATGGCTACCCGTCACAATCCAAATTCGGCCGTGAGCACGGAATCGTTATAAGAGATGAGAATCTGTCAGGACAAACAGACAGTACAGTTCATAAAAAATCCGAATTCACATAAAATTTGGGACAGTACGACGTCACAGCTTAAACCGATGACAGTGACACATTTATCGTCTAGCACTTGGCAGGCGCCATTCCGTGACGATATGACGCGAACATCAAACGACTCCTGCTATAGTTTTAACAGTTCGGTGCGGTGATCAACGGGTGACTACGTATATTCGTCCGCTATCATGAAAACTTTTAAACTTTAACCCATAGACACAGCCCACTGAGTTTCTCGCCGGATCTTCTCAGTGGGTCGCGTTTCCGATCCGGTGGTAGATTCTGCGAAGCACTGCTCTTGCTAGGGTTCATGTTAGCATCGTCGTCAGGTTCGAGCCCCGTGAGCTCACCTACGAGTTAAGGTTCCGCTGGAATAGCCTCTCTAGGCTACCAGCTTAGGTAGGGAAAAAAAATGCATAGAAAAGCTGGGCTGTAGCTTCTACAAAAATCCGAATAAAAAAAAAGTATTTTAATTACGTGTGCGACCGGCGTAACCTGACAACATACATATAATCATAACAGAAAGAAAAAAACAACTATTAAACTTACAAGAGTACGTCAACCGTCGACCTTGACTATTTTATTTTAAGAATAACGCTTATTATCATATTTTCAGTTTTAAATTGATTTATTTTATTATACGCAGTAGCGTCGAAACAAAGCTAGCAGATTTTAAATGTGACAAGCGGCTATCTAGTTGTTTGTTAGTTGAATAGTTTTCGATCAGCTCTTATTCATCTTTACAGCATCTCGTGGCTTCTATGGCAATTATCATATTTACGACGTTTCAAATACTCTTCAGTTTTCGTGGTCTTGTAACTATACTGGGACCTTAGAACTTATGTCTCAAGGTGGGTGGCGCATTTACGTTGTAGATGTCTATGGGCTCCCGTAACCACTTAACACCAGGTGGGCTGTGAGCTCGTCCACCCATCTAAGCAATAAAAAAAAGAAGCAGTGATTTTGATTTTACTCAGGAAATATCTTCTGTCCCGAAGGATCGCAGTCGGCGGCGGTCCACGACCTAATATGAACATAATATTAAAGCCAGCATTTATGTTTAGTTCAATTAATGAATCCCGTTTTCGGCTTTAGATAGTAATTATTAGCACACTAATTTAGTAATTTACTTCCGTTGAATGTAGTAATTGCTACCGCTTCCGGAATTTCTCTCGACGCCATTAATTAACCACAATCGTATATAGGTAAAACGGGGCGATCTTGCCGCCAAATCCGCGTCAAATAGTCACAATAGTTTCCAGTGTGATCGTTTTGTGTTTTTCAGTTCTCCTCATGTCCTGGTTCGGTGTGGACCAAGTTAAAGGGAATTCCTGCATCAGAACTGGTAATATGAAATGTGAACTGTAAATAAATACATTTAAATGTTCTCATAGCTGTCACTGTTAGATATGTGTTGTATTTGCGCTGCGAAAATATCGATAAACTTAAAATTTGAGCGTGTCCCATCACTGGTTCTTTATTTTTAGTTTGGGTCCTAAAAGAAAATTTCGTAATCTTACATTAAGATTGAATATAAGTCGCGGATCCGATGTTGAAATTGGCACTTAATAATTTTGGGTAAATAAACTTATGGCTAACTTGATGATGAGTGGGTAATCTACAGACACATTCTACATTCTATGCGTTAGTGAGTCTGTAGAAGCGATTGGCTTTTTTATTGCCTCTGTAGGCAGACGAGCATACGGCCCATATGATGGTGAGTGGTTACCGTCGCCCATAGACTTCAGCAATGGCAGGGGCAGAGCCAAGCCGCTGCCTACCGCTTAATATTCTCCACAAGCCTCGTTTGAAGAAGGACATGTCATAGCGCTCGGGAAACATTGAGCAACTCCTAAATTTTGAAATCACTATTACTGGTAGCAGAGATTGTCTGAAAAACAATTTCGATAGAGGTCATTAATTATTATTTTTATTACAAAAATAAGTTTCTGACATATTTTTTTTCAATTTTGAATGAATTCTAAAAGCAATTAACGAGCATCTGGAAGGCATACTTAAAATAAAACTAAAACTAGTGATGGCCGCACTATCGACGTAATAGTGAAGCGGTATGACAAAATAATAATATTGTATCGATATTGAACAGCTCGTCGTGCGTATTTTATGTGTTTGAGTGTCCACAGGAATGATTGTTGATGTTTCGAGGAATGGGTAAAAATTTGCATGTATACACTGTTTAGTGAGTTTTTTTTTTAAATATTAATAGTGAACTTATAAATAAATTATGTCGGATAACAACACTAAAATTACTCTCGTGGATAACTGATTAATCACCCTAGTTTTTTTTTAATTTTGAGGGTGGGTGCATTTGCCATTTGTGCTCACAAGAGCTCACTGCCAAGGGTCGACTTTTACCATCGTTACATTTTGATTAGTGACAATTTATCACTCCTCCAACGAAGTAAACTAATTTAATACACTTTATATCTATTTATTATGACCTACCACCTCTTTTAAGCTTCAAGACATGCTGTTGGAAAACATCTTAATAGAAAGTATAGATCTGTTAGAATTGAAATTTCTTCTTATTGTATTTATTATAGGAATGTACATGGTTAAATCCGATGCTGTTTAAAATCAGTTATACACGAGAATTCTCACACCCTTTCTATTAGTGAACTGTGTAGATGATTTGTTTTTCGTTTTTTTTTTCTTTTTTACTAACTGAAGCATGATTTTCAGCAATATGGGCTATAGCTCTCAGCCCCCTAGTACAGGCGGAATGCCAGAGTAAGTAATCCTGAACTGATCTAGCACGAAAGCTTGTAGCGTTTCCGAATAAATTGATTTTAAAACGACGCTCTCACTATTACTTTCTAACAATGCGAGTCATTGAAGTCATTGGGAATTTATTTGTAAGTTTCTAATGCGAACAATGACGGTCTTGCGGCTGATCGCGAGTACCGGTTTTATGGGCAGCGTGACTCACGGAGCATGGCCACAGGCCTCGTCTATCGTTAATTGAGTCGACTATTATCAAAGCCGGCAATGTGACTTTTGGACAATTATTGGTAAACCAGAAAAACGAATTATTGACTTTGTATTCCATTGGCAGTCACAAAACTCTTCTGATCGACATCTTAGATAAATAACAGGTTAAGTATTAACCTTTATTTAATGCAGGTTTTGAACCGTATTCTTTGAAGGAGATTCAAATCAATCTGTATTGACATATCAATAACATTTTTTTGTCCAAATGCACAGATTGCCACCTTTGATAATAGACGACTCAATTGTTGTTTTTTAACACAGAACGCCCGGCAAAACAATTGAAATTCCACCACGACTGTCTTGAATTAGTTAACTGCTCAAAATAAACCAATGTTCGTCGTGTCACAGTCGAATTTTAACTTCCCAGCCACATTGAGAGTGACAGCAGCGTGTTGAGCGTTATTTACGTTAACCGATCGTGAACATTCATGAGCAATTTAATTGGGAGTTTTGTAGTCGTTAGCGAAAAAAAAACTAACAAATAATAGGCCCAATTTCTGGTCAGCTTATACCATAACTATTCCTACATTGAGTTTCTCACATATAGACGTCGTTTTGAAATCAATTTGCAAGAACACCCGCTGGTATTCAGCGCGCTTCTAGCCATCTCTTCATTCTGCCTTGACTTCAAGGCTCGGCGCAAATGGACCACAGCCCACCGCGGCCAAAGACAACCACTTTGTACCTACGAACGGACCTACCTAGGGAACCTTCCCTACATACAATTTTACCGGTTGCTGAGGTCTGTGGCCCATTTGTGCCGAGCCTTAACTATAATTATGCGCAGCAACTTAAAGAAGGCTTCAAAAACCATGAAGTAAACATGCTAATGACGTTTTAGGAAACCCTTCTGTGACCGCGTCACGCTAGATATAAACATCTGTTAATGTTTGGAGACGGGTGTCATTGGCGTCGTCGCGACGTTCCAAATGTTTTAATAGAAATAAACATATGATATAAATACATACGCTACTGTCTATACTTACACGTGCTATTGGGAAACTTTTTTGTGTAAAGAAGCAGGATTAGGAATAAAAATATGCATTTGATTTATTTTGTACGCCTTTGTTACATGCGAATACCTAGTACGGGAAGAAACGGCTAATATTGACTCTGAACTGTCTCCCCGTGGCATAACCTTAACATTTCGTTTCCATAGAACTCATAATTGTTCAATTCTCAGTTTTGTACATACTTAATATTATAAAGAGGAAAGATTTGTTTGTTTGTTTGTATTGTATTGAATACGCTCCGAAACTACTGAACCGATTTGAAAAATTCTTTCACTGTTTAGAAGCTACACTATACCCGAATGAAAAAAATTGAAAAAAATTTGGGATCGTTCGTTACTAAAACTCGAATAATGTAACCCAAGGTGTAAAAAAATTACCTAAAATATTCTTTACATCGTGTGCCCTGCGAAAACGATTGATGATAAAATAAAATAATGTACCTACTACGACTTTGTAGAACACATTATTATTAACAAAAAGTGTCGGGACAGCATATGTTTAACTATTATAGTTATGCCGCAATAAGTGTTCTTTTGGACGGATGACGTTTATGAGAAACTTCAAATTTTGCCATTAGACTGGTATTTTAAAAGCAGATTTAAAAAAAAAAACAAGGCCTTATACTAGTTTATAATACTAAAATAAAGTAATAAAGCAAGGCCTATTCAATAATAGATAATTCAACATTTTAATTTACAAGCTCTTCAAAGCATTTTAATAAACCTGCAGCTGTTATCCCATAAAATAATTTCATTACCTTGGATAATAATAACCATACTTTATTTCTATACTTTTGATGTTATAATGATAGACGATAAAACATGTTTTTCTATCATCTAATTGCGATGTACATATGTGTGGGCTATGTTCTGATGTTCACTTGAGAACACAAAGGTGCCTGCCATTTTACTGGTGGTAGGACCTGTCTGCGCGGGTGGGTACCACCACCCTGCCTATTTCTGCCGTGAAGCAGTAATGCGTTTCGGTTTGAAGGGGGGGACAGCCGTTGTAACTATACGTGAGACCTTAGAACTTATATCTCAAGGTGGGTGGCGCATTTACGTTGTGGATGTCTGTGGGCTCCAGTAACCAATTAACACCAGGTGGGCTGTGAGCTCGTCCACCCATCTAAGCAAAAAAAAAAAGGTGCCTATTTCTCCTCCAAAATATTCATCTGTTGCAGTCTCTTCCTCTATTATGAGCAGTTGATTGATGTGTTTATTAAAACCAAAAAGCCAAATTATGAATGTTATATAAAATACGCGTATTGGAGAAATGGCTAGTAAAAATGGCTTGTAGAAAATAAGGGTTTAGAATTTGGTGGGATTGCGACGAGAAGGGTAGCTCTGTCTCTTTCCCGCAATGCGGATACAGGTGTTTGCGTTGATACGTTCATTTAACATATTGAATGTGAATGTAAACTCTATAAATGGTTTCGAAAAGAGCTACTGTTTTGAGAAGCTCTGGGGTAATAAACTCAACGGTCCTTACATCGTCCTAGACGTCATAGCAATGCCTTTGATCAGGAATTCGATCTGGGGTTCCAAGTTGAGCGGCGATGTTTTCACAGTGCTCACCCGGACTTACTCAGTACTTCTTATTACCTGAGCAGTCATGCAGATCAGTCATTCCCGATCCTGCGGACAGAATGGAAAGCAGTCGACGTCGCCCAAAACACGTTATTTCGGATCCTCCCGATCCACTAAGGTTGATTTTAGGTACTTCAAGCACCGGTCATCGTTTTCGTAGGGTTCGACGAGTAAATTAAGCCACAGACACAGCCAATGAATTTCTCGCCGGATCTTCTCAGTGGGTCGCGTTTCCGATCCGGTGGTAGATTCTGCGAAGCACAGCTCTTCCTAGGGTTCGTGTTAGCAATGTCGTCAGGTTGGAGCCCCGTAAGCTCATCTACTATTTAAGGTTACGCTGATCGAAGCTCTCAGCTTAGGCAGGGAAATAAAAAAAAAACGTTTAAATTTCTTCGTAAATTCTCACGTAGTTCTGTAATTTCAAATGATTCCTTCAAAATTAATAATGATATTTTTCTTGTAACTGGTTCTTCCGTACCACTCCACGCAATCAAAGGCTTTTTTTCCCACTGGCTCTTTATCAGCGCACATTGCATTCGCACGTTGAAGACGTATGTTTGCGTGCAGATAAAACGTTATCAGTCAAGAGCCGATAGCCAAATTTAATTTTCTTGACGTATTTTGACGTAGCTTAGGTATAAAAAAAAGCAGATCCGTTGCTCGCGTCAGTTGTTAGTAAATCAATTTATAATACATAATACGGAGGCCTTGCTACATTTGTCGCTTTTATACCTACGTTAAATTGTTAGTAACATAATCGCTTTCAATGTGTGCACAACCTTGCATGTTCTTTGCTTATTTTTTAAATCAGTTTTTCCTCTTACATGTATTGTTATTTGAATTAAATTGCATTGCAGAAACTAAATTACAGATTATTAGGTAAACATGTAAACATTCGATTAATTATAACATTAATTAATTAGTGTTTCAATTCTCTGTAATTTATTTCCGATAAATGCTGAGCTTATTATAATAAACGATATTTTTAATGAGGTCACTCTATCAGCGCTTGGGACACTGAAATATCTTTATGACATACCCTATGAAATGTCCTATGAGATGACATACTTCTAACGAGGCTTGTGGAGAGTACTTAACGGTAGGCAGCGGCTTGGCTCTGCCCCTGGCATTGCTGAAGTCCATGGGCGACGGTAACCACTCATCATGAGGTGGGTCGTATGCTCGTCTGCCTACAAGGGCAATAAAAAAAAGAGGTATTGCGTAAAGAATACTGCTTGTTCAAATCATTAAAATTAAATCTCATAATTAATTGTACATATGTAGTACCCAAAATGTTTTCATTCCTATTTCTGCCATACATCGTTGATATATTGCAAAGGTAAAATGTAAAATACTATTTGAAAATTAGGTTTAAATAAGTAGACAGGGCTATTCACGTATAAATAAGCTCTCACGCCCAGTCGACTTGGGTCAGCAGAGCGAGCCTCATCACAAGCTCCTCGTCCATGCTTCCATACAACACTACACTACTAATGAAAACACAACCTACCCATGTACACTCACTGTGAGTTTGGCGTGCTGTCGCAAAATAAGTTCAGTAGGTCACAGGTCGGAAGATAAACCTTGAACATAGCTTATTGCCGCTAAAGAATTCGCGTGACTGCTCTGATTTATCGTTATAAAACTTGGCTGAACACGAAATGTAAATTATAATACAATTGACAGTTATGTCGGGCGCTTATTAAAGAACTTTAAAATTATTTTAAAATGACTAGTGATGTGTCCTTTGTTGAAGTGTCTTTAAAAACTAAAGACATGTTTTGACGGTAGTTGAAGGCAAACGAACTATCCGGTAAATGATTTGGTATTATCGCTCATAGACTAGCAGGACCGCAGCCTCTTACTGTTTATTGGTGGTAGGACCTCTTGTGAGTCCGCGCGGGTATCCTGCCTATTTCTGCCGTGAAGCAGTAATGCGTTTCGGTTTGAAGGGTGGGGCAGCCGTTGTACCTATACTGAGACCTTAGAACTCATATCCCAAGGTGGGTGGCGCATTTACGTTGTGGATGTCTATGGGCTCCAGTAACCACTTAACACCAAATAGGCTGTGAGCTCGTCCACCCACCTAAGCAATAAAAAAAAGACTTACTGCTTAGATGCATAGAAGAGTCTTGAACTCTCCTCCTGTGGTGTCAAAAGATTATCTACGCCCATACACCAGACACCATAACCTCAATGCCGCTACCTTGAACCACAAAGTCAAAGATTTACCAGTATTATATAACTACTGCTCTCCCACAAACCGGCAGTCATGATTTAGCGCGACACAAATATGGTATACTGATTTTACTCATACATTCTCACACTTGTTGAACAAAACATGACGCACCGCAGTATTTTTACCGAAACATACATTTAGGAACTGCTGCTCTCTCACCATATGCTACCAATATCATAATCCTCATTCCCCTAAGGCCGAAAGTAAGAAAATGGGAGCCATTTTAAAACAAAACGTATGGGGCAAGGAATGATGACGCAATAAGCTGTGTATCAAAGAAAACTAATGATGTTTCTCGTGTCCACCTCTCGTCCACCCTAAATAACAGAATAGTACAGTAACAAATAGAAGACCACAAAAGCAGAATACACAAAGACGAATCACATTATATATATATGTGTCGACTTATTTACTCATGTCAGTTCTTAGTTTCAAGCTTTTAATGTCAAATTAAGACCAAATAAAAAGGTAAGGTCGGATGGCGTCCCCAGGGAACCGGCTCTCGTGCTGTGCGTACTGACACATATAGCTGCCCACTAAACTCACCAAGCACTTCTCTCATAGCCATTGCTCCATCCAACATGACACAAGGCACATGACAACTTGTCGAATATAAAAGCTTTGAAGACTCGCAGTTTAGTGACGTACGTCGTAACAATCCGCAGCCCGCACGATATACTGTTACGAGTGTGACAGCTGGTCGGACCCGCGATGCAAGGACCCGTTCAACTACACGGCGCTGCCGCGGGACCAGCCCCCTCTCCAGACCTGTAACGGGTGCTGCGTCAAAATGGTGCGCTATTCTAAGAGCCGTAAGTATAATTCTCTCTTCTCAGTCGTATGCACTCTTGGTAGAGTGGTCGTGGTCATCACTTCGGTTGGTGGTGCGCTTCACCAGACGTCGCCATTCCTCGCGTACCGCGGCCCTTCTTGTGCACTCGTTAACGGGACCGTTTAGAGCTGCCTTTATTTGGTCGGTCCATCGTAACGGTGATCTGCCGCGCGGTCTTGTACCCTCATCTCCTTTTTATCATCGCACCTCCCCCGCCATCGGAGTAGAGTTCATCCATATTCAGTGCGTTTTCAGAGGTCTTTTTTGCCACGTACCATCCGGTTATGGAATGAGCTTCCCTCCACGGTGTTTCCCGAGCGCTATGACATGTCCTTCTTCAAACGAGGCTTGTGGAGAGTATTAGGCGGTAGGCAGCGGCTTGGCTCTGCCCCTGGCATTGCTGAAGTCCATGGGCGACGGTAACTATTCACCATCAGGTGGGCCATATGCTTGTCTGCCTACGAGGGCAATAAAAAATACAACGATATCAGTATTACAAGGATGATTACGTGAATATTATTATATGTATGTATAAGTCGCTGTTTCCCGGTTTCAGCTTACGAGGTCGTCAGACGAACGTGCACTTCTCAACTACAAATAAACTTGTTCATGGTGGACCACGTGTGCATGATGGAAAGTACTGGCACTGGTCACATGTGTTTCTGTGAGGAGGACATGTGTAACGGGGCGCCGGCCAGGACGGCCGCAGTCCTGGCCGTTGTCGCGGCGCTAGCGCTCGCATGCTGCATGAGGTGAAGTCGGACGCTAGACTCCCGATGGCGGTTATCGATTCGTGACTATCGAACTTTTCATATCGATGCTTTCACATCACTAATGAAAGGACCGATCTTAGAGTCATGACTAGAGCTTAAGATTCGTACGTGTGTAGTGATGTGAAAAGTACATATCGATTTTTTTTTTAGTTAATCGATGATCGTTATCAACGTGACCGACCTAGTTGAGAATTGACTTTTCGTCCGATAGTAGATGTAGTTTTAGAATTTCGAGTGCTTAGTTTTTACAACACAGCTTCTAATACGAAGGTGAGGACTAACGAGCCACGAACATCTTCGCTTCGGAAGACATTTTGTAAGACTCACAATTACTAACTCCAGTTCGCTAGACACTCACGCTGCTCTTCAACATCACTCATTTAGATCAATCATCGTTTGACTCGCAGACGTCGCGCCCTCGACCGACACACGATGATTTCAATTCTCCGGACAACCGTGTGATATTTACTCACTTACCTTCGCAACCAATGACACTGTTAATGTCATGACGTTGACACGGTCGTCCGCCCGCGTGAGCCAAAGAGTCACGTTTAAATTCGTCTTTCAACTATAATCAGTGATGTTGAAACTAAGCACGTATTTTTCTCTCATCTAAAGCATAAATTGAAGTTTACGCTATAAATAATGATAGTTAAAAAATGACCATGTTTCAAATTAGCGTGTATATATGCTCAGACGGGCCGTCTGCATGCCTCGGGTACAGGAGTGCGGCCGCTGCGGCTCGCCATAACTTAGGTTAGCTACGTGGATATTCTACGGTGTACCATAGACCACGGTTTTGCTCATAGACTTTATAGGTTCGAGCTGAATAGACAAGAAATAGATTATAAAGTCGTAATGAAGAGTGACAAACAGGAATAGGTGCCTGGATTACAAGTTATCTCACTTTAATTTTAATATATTTTTTTTGGAAAGTTCCTAAAAAAACCGAAGTAAATGCGTGCTGTTTTTAATCCAATGTTTTTTTCTGTCAATTGTCCGGAAGAGTGAAAAATGACATTAGGATCGGTAACGCTAGACCATAGGGTTTAATAAGTGGTTTTTTAAATTATAAGGGTTTGTTAGCTAATACTGTTACATTAAAACTAAAATTTAACGTTTTATTAAATGTGTAATAATATTAATTTTACGAAATTTTAACACCAATTAAAAATATATCTATATATTGTTAAGTTTAACGCTTAGAGTTTGATAAGCATGCCCAAATAGAACAAAAAAAAACATAGTTTATAAACCAGACGAATAATCGATAATGACAAATAATAATCGATATACAGAGCACAGTTAGTGCGCGCGTAACGATACGAGCGACGTCACTAGTGAATATAATTCGAATAATATTAGGTAATACGCAAGTATTGAGTTCGTCAGATACCAGAGAATTTGTACAGAACACACACGCGAACGCTCTAACTACCCTCTTTCAATTAAACCACTCAATCATATCAATTGGATAACTCGGTCGTATTTACGTACGACCTCAGTCGGAGCTGGCTGCGGAGGCGTTCCATGGTCATTTCCGCAGCGCTGGTGTATATATCGTTCATCGCTTATATGCCCTACGAGATAAGCGACATTTCAGTGTCAATATGTCGGGGATCTGGTACGCGTTGCCGTCTGTTGGCGCGTTTTGAAAATGCATATAAAGAGCACACGAACTTCTAAATCCCCCCTAACGAGATTCCCCCTATCAGCTGAACACCCGCGCTAGATTATCAATTGAGTGCTTTAATTGAATTAAAATCTGTTTCATCTTGTATAAGAATAAAAATAGCATGTAACATTAACGTGTCTACAAAGTCGTTATTATTTAATTGATGAAATAGGAACAACCTTCCCTGTTCTTTAGCGTGATTATTTTAATATTGACCAGACATTGTTTGATCGTACGTCGCTGTCGACAAGTTTGAGGATCGGATGAAGCGTTTTTTGAATTTGAGAAATGAAAAGTTACTGTGACGGATCTTGAGGGAAAATACTTGCTAATGATTAATACGAGATTTTCTTCCGTATGACCGTGTATTTGGTACACTTAAAATATTAAAATTAAGTAAAAATTAGAAAGCTACAACTGATTCGTTTCACATATTTATAACAAGTCTTTTATTTTAAAGACCGTGTTGCCAGATTAAGATCTCAAAAACTACATTCCGTGACAGTTACTAATTTTGTCTTCGAGCCGGACCCGCCTTGACCAGGCTCAGGGGACCTGCTAGATTAGCCCAGTGTACGGTAGTGGCATTTCGTGGCCACTGCTATCAGCCTCAATACCAAGTATTCTATCTTTCCCTGTGTAACATCATTCGGGAGGCTTTCAGACGAGGTTTTTAAAATCTTCAGCAAACGGCCTTTGGTTTATGCACGAATATTATTTGTGTTAAAATAATTCTGCCCAGACTTTTCGTAAATCTTAATAAATTATATCTATCTATCTATCTCTTAGGTTTATGGCGTTTCCTTTTAGATTTCGCCAATGTCAAGTGTATTTAATACTCTGCTTTCTATAGCGGGCTTCGTGAACGAGCAAGGTCACAGATATTCACTAAGAATTAAGTGAGTAGCTAAGAATGTTTGATGACAGGATCTCTGTTGATTTACCTTTAGAAAAAGTAGTCTTTTTTTTTTATAAATTATATCCCTCGCTCTAACGATTGTTCACGCATGACAGATGTCTGTGTGTCATTCTCATAGACCTATATAGTAGGGACACGACATATTGTTCTATACGTACAATTGCTTATATAAATAGCACCCATTTTGAAGGCACATAAATAAACATATATCTATCTCTTTCTTACTCAGCACTTTAACTCGCAGGAAAACAATATAACAGTATTTCAGTGCGTACATAAAATGAAACATGAATATACGTAAATATCTCCGTCTCCGTCTAATGAGGCCGAAAATCCGCCATGTTTTGCGCGCCAAATGTCATTGTCACGTCAGTTCGGCCGTCTGTTTTGGGTTGTACATTANACATTAATCAACTGGGATGAAATTTAATGAAATTAAATGATATGGGATGAAATATAATCGCAGTAAAATGGTGGTCATTTACTGAGATTTTTTCAGTGGACTTTTTGGAGGAACCTGAGAAGTTACGTCCAGCAGCTTTGTTTCATTTTCCCACATTTGTGCACTTTCACAGATATTAAACAGTTAATAAACCACCATTATTATACATTTAAACCTGAAGAAACACTAAATAGACAAAATAAAACAAATCACACAACTTCACTCCTCGCGTTCCCGCCAAAAAGTCCTATTATTTGTGTTAATATAATTCTGCCCAGACTTTTTAAATCTTGATAAATTATATCCCTCGCTCTAACGATTGTTCACGCATGACAGATGTCTGTGTGTCATTCTTAAATTTAAATGACGTTTCCCGAAGCAAACGAATTGAAACTATTCAGGCATTGTTCTTAATGTTTGATATTTTCTGAAATTGTCTTTGACCTCGAATTTCAAATCTTTTTTTAGATTGTTGAAAAAGTGCTTGACTGTATCAAATCGGCTGACTTGACGTTCAAATTATGGCTGGTCTCCCAACAATTAACTGCAGTTAACGTTAAAGTAAAACGCAGTTACAAACGTTAGTAAACAATCATTGCAACAGAAAGGGAAACGGAGTATTCTAGAATAAAAATAATGACGTCATCAATAGAGTTGTGAATGTATCCTCGATGCTCCGTCGACCTGAGGGACCGTTGCATGTTTGGTCGGTGATCGTCCAGTGGCTGAGATCAAAATAAGAATAGGGCGGTCAAGACCTCTAGCCATCCGATATTAATGTATAAAAATAATAATTTCCACTAGTGAATCTTAATGATTACATTCGATTGACAACCAAAAATGGCGAAAGGTTTGCCGTTTTCTTATTTTGACAAGTGAATACAGCATGACACTGCACATTAGTCGGGCTTCCACCCAGCCAGGGCGGCCGGACCAAGTTGTCTCATCGCATCTGGATGAAGTTAGCTGATGAACTAAAATTGGAATTTTAAAAATACAAATTAATTGTTGAGCATTATCGGGAAGAGAGCTACAGCAACATATATAGTATAACAATTCGGTAACAATTAATGTGTCAGGTTGTCGACGTTCCGTCGGACTCGTCGCCTTTCCGCATTAAAAGTGTACAATTTCCAAAAATATTCGAAATCGAGTTAATGTGCGGAATCATTTGGTATCACCAGTATTTTTCTCATAAATACTGTCAAAAGAGCGTAGTTTAGTTTAAGTATTTTTTTAGTTTATCTATATTTGACTATGTACTATTAACAAAATTAATACATCATTTTATCTGACTTTAAAAGACAGTTAATGTATCTGGTAAAAAATAAAAAATTAATGTTGCAAAGATGATTAATCTTAAAAATATCACATATAAATAAAATTAGTAAGTTTTGAGATTATACAGTTTTAATGCGAGAAAACCACGTGTTGATCTGCCGTAACGCTGACTTGATGGATAACCACGTGAAATCGCATTCTATGTTTTTTTTTACCCCAGTATAGAACAGTTAAATGATTATTTCAACATTATGCGTATTTTATGTAAATTACATGAGTTCTTCCGCGCGATTATAATATAATTTCGAATTAAAATATGTAATAATGATATCTATAAATACGATACAACTGATGTACAAATAAAATGCTCAACGCTTCGATATTAATTATTGACTGAAGTCGCTACGGGAAAAGTTTAGCAGCTATCTTGACTGGCGTAATTACTAGATATATCGCGAACGGTGAACTATTGTCATTGTATCTCGTGATTGTAATCAATTTTGGATAAATGAAAACTTTTATGGTCCTATAATGGACCTTTTATGGTCCTTCAATAAATGAGTTGTTTGGCCACTACGGTAGCATAGCTGCTCTTAACTTATCAACTTTCATTTCCCAAAAGTTGACAATCACGAGATTACATACAGACAAATCGTTGTCCATTAATCATATCGTATAAAAAAAATCAATTCGCTTATAATTTTTATTGAACTTAGTAGAATAAGAACATTATGTAGTGTCGTTTTATACTTTTTGTAAAGATACAACTACCCACTCTTCGGCGATAAAGAAATGCGAAAGGATTCATTCATAGTTCGAATGAATTAATTTATGAAAAGCTCACGTCTGGGAAACGCAAGAAACTGGACGATGGTTGTTCGCGGAGATCAAAGTATAGAACGACACGTAAAGAATTTTAAAGTCTTCACTTGTAACAGCTGCACATCACGCGAACTAATGACATGGCTGAGGTATCTCGTAGTCAGTTTATTTTGCTCCAACATTTAAGATTTTCCATATCGTCGGGCCCAGGGCCGAGGGAGACCCGTCGCTGGCGGCTCCCACATATTAGTTTTATTTCTATTTATATATATCACTAGAAATACAAGATGGATATGTTTAAATATGGATTTTGGAAAAGCATGTATTTAAAATAACATCTAACAACAGATGAGACGACATTTATTTTCCCCTTAATTATGTATATACCGGTGTCCTCGCGTGACTGTCAATAACTACATTGATGATCAGTTAAATGACATTGACGCTTAGTTCTGTTGATCAGATTTAGAATGGACGTGATTTTGCTCAATTCGTGGTCGTCCTGCTGTGTGTGAAAAATAATTTATCGTCTCATCTAAATATTTTTTATTAAAAAGTTGCACTTTTTCACTAACAAGCAAACTCCGCTTTGCGAATAAACAATACGGCCTCCGATTTACAATTGTCAAATACAAATAGTAACTAAACGACATTACGACATCAAAGAATTCCACTACAAAATATTTCATATGCCACGTGTAGTGGAACTGTCTCCTGCCTACAACAGGGAGTTCTTCTTTCTTTCCTATTACCATCTGCTGGGGTATAGGGCTCGAATCAAATCCTTCCATTTACATCGGTCTTGGGCAGTCTGTTCTAGCTCCTCCTACGTCATACCCAAGACGCCTAGTTCCAGCTCCATCGAGCGAGGCCAAGTTGTTCTGGGACGGATTCTCTTCCTATTGCCAGACACTTTCCAGGTCAGTGCTATCTTGGATAGATGGGTATCGCGCTTTCTCAATATGTGACCAATCCAATGCCACTGCCGCGTAAGAAACTCCTTCTCCATTGGTGTCTGCTTGGTGATCCAGGGATCCAGGTGCAACGGGGAGTTCGGAGGAAATTAATACCGTAAAACGATAAGGGTGATTAAATTAACGCCATCGTCAAGTTAATCATCAACAGACCGATAATAATGATACTATTATCATTATCATCGGTTTGTATTAAGGCGATAGTTTGTTCCCGTGGCTTCTAAAAATAGTTGCATTCCAATTGGACCTTAGAGCTACATCACAAATCATCAACTCGTAGACAGGAGACGTAGACGTCTACAAGTAGACGGTAGACAGTCTGTCTAGTGAATAGTAACATTTCATTGAAAGTGGAAATATCAAATATAAAGTTAAATGTCGTTTAGTCACTATTACCGTCCACACGTGACCTGTAGACAGATTTTTCTCTTGTCACTCGCCGGTCTCTACCATTTGTAACGTTTTCTTCCCGTGACCAAAGCTTTTAGCGGGTCACCGGCAGAAAACGACTTGGAATTTTGTAAAACAATAAAATACGACCGGTTTTCACGTAGCTGTACTGTAATTCTAGCAGAAATATTTAATGACATTAGACCTTCATTACTAGAAGACGGTCGTTCTCTCATCCGTAGGATCAGATGCGTTATCACCGGAGCAATTGTGGAGGATGAATGCATCCTTCAATTATTTGAAAACTCAATCAAATGTAAGCACATTTTTAACAAGAATGTGTCAACACATTCATGATGTTAGCCAATTTCTAGTGCAGAGGATTTCCAACAAGTCGATTGGAACATTCCAATAAGCAGGTGCTTAATGTGGGCCCTATAAATGTGAAATGTGACAACGTTATGTTGAGTTCTAACACTGTAACTTTATGTACTTTTGCCTCAATTATTACATTTACAAAAAACAATACCTCTCAAAAATGTCTGTAATGTCAACTGTCAAAGTTAACCGGTCGTATGCACCTGTTTTAAAGAATAATAATTTATAGTTTATAATCAAACAATATTGATGCTATCGGAAACTGTGTACCTGTTGTCAAAAAGAGTTCGTCCTTTAAAAATGGTTTTTCATATTAAAATATATTAATATTATACACGAAACGCATCATATCTTATGAAATGTTAAACACAATAACATCCACATTTTTACGGAGAAAAAAAATATATATATATTGATATTTTGTTATGTATTCAAGAGACAATATTTGTAGCAAACGTTGGTTAAATAATATCGCATTCGTTTTGTTTGATTGCGTTCTCACTGTTAACGAAATAAAAACGTCAGATCATCAAGTGCCATAATTATAAAATACGTTGTTATATAACTGTTGTTTGATTCAAACAAGCCTTCCCTTACGTGAAGTTATAAGAACTATTTCCACCACGGATAATCCTTTTATATTCAAGCAGATCCGGCCCTGTGTCAGCATCACTAAACATATATTTTTCTACTGGTATGGATACATACATACGCTGGCTCACTTTATTTCTGCGAATAACATAAATCTCCGAATGGTAAACCGTCGACGTCGCCCAAAGCATGTCATTACAGATCCTCCTAATCATTAACGGTGCTTTTAGGCACCACAAGCACCGGTCACCGTCCTCGTTGATCCCGTCGCTTGCGACGAAGGGCTCGACGAGCGAATTAACCCATAGACACAGCCCACTGAGTTTCTCGCCGGATTTTCTCAGTGGGTCGCGTTTCCGATCCGGTGGTAGATTCTGCGAAGCACTGCTCTTTCTAGGGTCAGTGTTAGCTCACCTACATGTTAGGATGAAGCTGAAATAGCCTCAATAAGCTATCAGCATAGGTAGAAAAAAAATATGCCTCTATTATATTTTCTTATCTATTCTATTGCCTTTATTTAATATTGAAAGAAGATATAAAGGCCATAAAAATCATTTAAAAACCCGCTCGTAAGAGATTGGTGTGGGCCGTACTTTGATTGTTTCAAGTTATCCTGAAAGGCTTCCGATAAGCTCTTTGTATAAGCCAGAATTTGTTTTGAGACCATTTTGGCGCGAACATTCTGCGAGGTTAGGATTATTGGAAAAGGCCAGGCCGAAGACCGTATTTTAAACAATGCGAACGAAAAACCAATAAAAAGAAACAATTTCTTTATTAATTACAACATATATACAATGTATACATTATAATTACAAAATATATGTAATTATTATTCTATAAAAACCTATATTGTACCTAGTCGAAGTTATTACACTGACAGACGACCATGCGGCCTCAAATGTCATCAATATCATTACGTCAATGCAACAATGACAGTAATGCCATGCCACTAACACTGGCACACTGTGTCCCTTGACCAGAACTCACCCGCCGCTATATTATGAAACGCTGCTTAAATTATATGGCTTTGTTTTAAAACATGTAAAGATGATTTTCAGACAACTCCAGTACAAATTTTAATACTCTAGAGAATTATTTTAGATGTTGCAGACAGGGCAGTGAGGATTTATTTATTTAAACCATAAATTTTGGTGAGTTCATCAATAACAACTGCGCTGACCTGATGATTTCTGGGATATCAAGGACACTACACACAAATATGCATGATGTACTGATCACTAGAATTGCTTTAAATTATGTATTTTATAAAAAATGTTTTGTTCGCTTGATAAATTAAGGATATAATTATGTCACTTTACCCACTCCAGAAAAAAAGCCGTTATTGGTAACAATTATATCTATGTTGGCAATGCTAAATAAGCTATATTTTGGTTGTCAGCGGGCTCGCTCATGCTTGACTCAGGGAAATTGAAGAATATCAGTATTTTTATAATGAAACTAGATAAGGAGGTGTAGGGTCCAGCCTGCGCTACCAGGTCCCAGGACCAGACGCTGGTCTACGGTGGAATGTCTGCTGTCCTTCTGGCAGACAGACACGACGCTCCATCGGTGATGACGACACTTGAGGCAGTCCCTGGTTGCCCCGTTACAAATGGGCGTGAACATTTAAGTTTTCCAAAACGGAAACATCATAATATTGTACTAAAGGTGTATTCATATATTTCACTAAATCACAATAGGACTACGTTTAGTAGAAGCGCGTCCGACCCCACTTACGTGTATATGAACACTGCTGTTTGCTATTTGACGGGTTCTCAACCACTTTAATGTAATTTAAAGATTCTTCGGAATCATCAAGGGTCCGCAGCCTTACTGGTCGCCGACCGGCCGGGGCCTCCGGGCCAGCAGCCCCCTGTACTACGTAATGAACACATTTCTTCATAACGCGTTTAGTCGCATTCGCCATTTTGCCACGACAAGGTGTTGCGTATTCCAGTACCGTAATTAACTTTCAAAGTTATCTTTGGAACTCATTAAATATTAAAATAAACCCAGAGACAGTCCTAGCGTTCCATTGTGTCACGTCACGAGTATTGAGTGGCGCGTGACGTCATTAGAGTGTAAGCAGCACTAGAGCGTGCTATCGACCAATCCGAGTACGTTATGAGCTTTTTTTTAAAAAATCTCTTAACGTTTTTAAAACGTCATAAAATGAATCACATTATTAACAATTTACTTAAACACAATTTTCGATGCAGAGAAAGAGTTAAGCAAATCGTAACGATAGAGAGAGAGAGAGACAGAGAATTATTAACGTCGTTTTGTTACACGTGGCTTTCACACAGAGCTTTCCATTTTGTCGAAAAAAGTTTCGTACGAGATCGGGAGAGCTTTTGAATAGTCCGTGCGCGTTTGCTTAGAGCGACCCCCCTCCCCCCCCCTGCCTCCCCCGGCGGGCGGGTGTCGCGTCCGGGGCCGCTCATATGATGTTGCAGCAGCGGCAGTAGCGGGGCCGGGCGCCGCCGGCGGCCGCGGGCGGAGTCACCGGGGCGAAGTACGCGTGCACTTTGATGTTGGGAAGATGGTTCTGGAATCATGGCGAAATCCAACTTATAATTTCTATGAGATTACTAAGTTTACTGGTGATAGGACCTCTTGTGAGTCCGCACGGGTAAGTATCACCGCCCTGCCTATTTCTGCCGTGAAGCAGTAATTTGTAACTATACTGAGACCTTAGAACTTATATCTCAAGATGGGTGGCGCATTTACGTTGTAGATGTCTATGGGCTCCAGTAACCACTTAACAAAAGGTGGGCCTGTGAGATCGTCCACCTAAATAAGAAAAAAAAAATGAGGTAGGCGGCATATTATTAGTTTGTAAACCCTACCGGGGTCCCTGTGCGCACTCACCCTAAGCTTACGTATGGCGTTCCTCGTGACCATCTGGCAGTCGTAGAGCTCGATGAGCTGCAGGTTGTGGCAGGACGTCAGGTGCTCCAGCGCCTCGTCGGTCACCAGGGGACAGTTATCCAGACCTGGGGACGAATATCGCGCGGGTCATGCTCAGCTTCCGACACACTTGTCAAGTTTGTATCAACTTGCGGGTAGATGTGGATATTGTACTTGATTGTACGTGGTTGATATTATTGTACGTGGATATTGTATATTATAGTTAGTGGCCGTTATAATAATCATGAAAACTTCTCACTCAAGGGTCAATGGGCCAATCTAATTTTTGGATTAGAGAAATTTATCTTAACTTATATATTACATCGTCTCAAACTTTTTCGTCTGTGTGTCGCATGTCGCGTGACGGTCGGCCGTGAAGTAGGGATAAAGTGAAAGGCGCTCGTCAGAGCAGCCAAGGCCAATATGGTGGCGCCTATAGTTCGCAGCAGCTGACCGTGTAGTGTATAGACTATTACTCATTAGTGCCAGTGCTCCACGCTATTTTGTTTATTTTTGTCAGAGTTAAATGTCTGTAATGTAAAAAAAAAAGTTTCACTTTTACCGTGGTTTCATAAAATCACACAATCCTTCTTTTTATTAAACATCAATTAAACAAAAAGGATATTTTATAAGATTTCACAATAAACACGGTAGATAGTAAGAGTTGAGTAGAACACGAGGCCGGTGTCCTTGCGCTACTCACCCAGCACGGTGAGGTGCTCGGCGGCGCAGGGGGACAGGGACAGCTGCTTTATGCCGTTGTCCGTGATCAGGTCACAGTGGGACAGCGTCTGAAATTTAAAAAAAAACAAACGTCAAATGTGACAGCTGTCATTCAGCTTGCCCAGAACTTGACTGTTTGTTTGTCAGCTGGCGGCGGGCCAGATTTGAAAACAGACAAGAGTTTATTTTAAGAAAGTGAAAAAAAGTTATTACTATGGGGGGGGGGGGGGTCGACTAGGCCTCTCCGCCCCTCACGTCTGTCGGAGTCGCCCGCTCTCTACCGAACTCGCTTGATTAGTTAGGCCCAAGATGTTTAACATAAATAATACTAATTTAGTTGACCTAGGCCACTGGGCCGCAGACTACGTGGCCGCACCGAGCTGCTGCATGGGACCGGTTCTCTCTTAATCATTTTTTTCGTTTAATTTGACTAAAGGCAGTTTAATAAATAAAACCTTAGTTAAATATATAAACCTCACCAGTTTCTCAAGTCGCGGACAGCCCATGGACAGGTGCACCAGGGTGGCGTCGGTGATAAGGACACACTCTTCCAAGTCCATGCGCTCCAGCATCCTGCAGTTCTACGGTGGGGAACAAAACGGATTCTCATTATATAATTATTATTTTTTAAAGAATTTTATGACCTGGTAACTAAGACCTTTAGGTCAAGTCTTATTTTAATTCCAATGAAAACTATTTTAAATGAAAAATGATATTCCGAAATGAAATAAAGTTGATTAAGCTGGGGCGCTTGCATACAATATACAACGGCTTTTGTTCGAGGGCTCACGGGGCCTTGATATTTGTGGTGTAGACCGTGGACTACGGCAGAACAAACACACTCGAAGTGTACCGTACATGGGGCACCACGTACTGCCGACCTTGGCCGGGCCCCGGGATCTACCGTCCGGGAGATGTGCGCGCTATTATACTTGTAGTTCCCAATTAACCAGTAACATACTCTGGCAACCGTCTGGTCATGAGTTATATGGTTATATACGATTTATTACTGTTAGGCTAGTGATGATTTATTTTAGTAGCGTGGTTTTTTTTCCTACCTAAGCTGATAGCTTTGAGAGGCTATATCAGCGTAACCTTAACTAGTAGGTGAGCTCGCGGGGCTCAAACCGGAGTGATGCTAACACTGACCCTAGCAAGAGTCGTGTTTCGCAGAATCTACCACCGGATCAGAAACGCGACCCGCTGTGTCTATGGATTAATTTACTCGTGACCGGTGACCGATGTTTGTGGTACCTAAAAGCAGCGTTAGTGGATCGGGAGGATCCGTAATGACGTGAGAGTATGAGGGGTACCCTTGCGAGCGCCTGGAAGCCGGCGTCGGTGAGCTGCGTGCACTGCGCCAGCTCGAGCGTGGCGAGGCGCGGCGCGGCGGCGGCCAGCGCGGCCAGCGACGCGTCCGTGAGCCGCGCGCAGCCCGACGCGCACAGCCGCCGCAGCGCGCCGCCCAGCCGCGACACCGCCTCGTCCGACACCGTCTGCGCACACCCCCGCCCGCCCCTTGCAATACTATACTTGGCGACTCTGAACATAGCCGCAGGTCAACTTTCCGAACCGTATCGAGAATTACCGAATTTATACGATGTCAAGAAAAGGGATGTCCAATGTGCGTGTTTGAGGATGTTGCTTAATCGATTTTTTTTCAAATTGATAAAAATTTAAATAAAAAGAAAAGAAATAAATTTAATAAAAATAAAGTATAACTTCTTACGCGCGTACATAAGTACACGCATCCTTTTTTTTATTGCCCTTATAGGCAGACGAGCACACGGCTCTCTTAATGGTGAGCGGTTACCGTCGCCTATGGATTTCAGCAATGCCAGGGGCAGAGCCAGGCCGCTGCCTACCGCTTAATACTCTCCACAAGCCTCGTTTGAAGAAGGACATGTCATAGCGCTCGGGAAACACCGTGGAGGGGAGCTCATTCCATAGCCGGATGGTACGTGGCAAAAAAGATTTCTGGAAACGCACTGTGGGTGACCGCAGTGGCTCCAGGTAGTATGGATGAACTCTACTCCGGTGGCGGGCGGTGCGATAGTAAAAACGAGGTGACGATATCATGTCGAACAATTCCTCAAAGCACTCCCCATGGAGTGCCAGTCCCCGGGTCGGGTATAGTCACGGTGCGGCGGGCACGTACCTCGCAGCCCTGTATGTCCAGCACCTCGAGGTCGGGGCAGCGCGTGGCGAGGCTGATGACGGCGCGGTCATTGACGTTCTTGCATCCTGCAACAACACAAGCCTGGGATCACGGACCACTCAACTGTCACACTTCACGGACTCTTTGTAATCAACAATTGTTCATTTGAACCCAGAGCCCCTAGAGCCATAAGGCAGGGTCGCTTCGTTACAGAGATAGAGTGGACAGTATAATAAATAAGAAATAATAACTTTGAACATACGAGTAAAGAAAAATATATAAGTATTGTTAAAAAAAAAATTGTTAAAAAAAGGATATTTTTTTCAGTATTATTCAGTGTCAGGCAGTAAAGTCTGTCGTTAAGTAAAAAAGACATTTTAGTTTTGTATATATAGTTTATGAATACTGTTTACTATTAAATATTTAATATTAATTTTAAAAGATTTTAAGGGCTTTAAATATTTTTTTCTTATGATATCACAGAAAACACAATTAAGTCTTTTATTGATTATAATTTGAAATACTCCAGATGTGTATATAAATAAAAATCTAAGAGGAAATGAAGGCAACATCTGTAACAATAATCCATCTGCATTGTTCTGTATTTATGTATGTAATTAGCATCGAGAGAATCTTTAACAGAGGTATATGTAAGACGCAACATCCCTGCACGGTTGAGCACGTCCCACGTGACCGGCGGCCGGCCTCGCGGCGGTCACATGGGACTGCATCATCGTTCCATGGTCAGCCTAGCGTGGTGTATGTCGACCTCAAATGACGTCAAATGTTATGAAGTTGTATTGTGTGCGGTTCTAGCGGAAATTTTGTTAAAAAAGAAAGGCTTCGTCTCTATTGTTGAGTTACAGCACTAGCTGCGTGTCTCCGCACTAGTAATGTTGTCTGGTTACTATGGTTACATTCTCTTCTTATGAAGATCGTGCCGTAGTAAAGTTTTTATGAATAAAATATAGTTTGTGATAAATAACACAGTCTGCTTATTCTTCCACATAAAATCTTAACATCTATAGTTCACTACGGCCCAGGGACAGCAGCAGACGGGCGCCGCCCCACCCAGCACGCACGGTCCCAATGACCAAATACCACTATCGTCAATACGAAGTCCGGGTAACAGATTCCCAGGCCTTACCTTTACAAATGAAGCTCTTGAGCTTGGGGCAGCCCCGGGCCAGCGCCTCCACGCCGCTCTCCGTTATGGACTGGCACCACGACACGTTCACGTGCGTCAGCAACTGGAAATTGTTACATTTACTCATTGAATACGCACACAGTGACGTAGCCAACATCATGTAGTTCATTAGGGTATCATTTCGCCCCCGTACACCCGGGGGGCGGGGGGTTGGGGGCTCCGAGTGCACTACTGTACTGAGCACTCGTTGGGACCGCACGGGGGGTGTTGGTGGCGTGAAGCAATGGGGTGGGGCAGCCTGAACCTCGCATCTCGAGATGGGACACTGTGCTGTCTATGGGATAAAGCCAATGATGGGGTGTGGTCGGGAGTGTCCAGTAGTGCAGCGGCGGGGCTGGGCTGGTGGGCGGATGAGTGAGGCGCCTACTTACAGGGCAGCCGTCGGCCAGCGCCTTCAGAGAGATGTCCGACACGCTGGGGCAAGAGTCCAAATTGATTCTAGAAAAAAAAAATTACAACATTTGACATCGCTGTGTTGCTGCATTTAAATATTAAACTAGCTTTTTCCCGCGACCTCATTTACGTAGAAGTAAGTATATTTTTGAATAATAGAATGTTAAGGAGCTATTTAAGGTACAAAAATCATGCTTTTTAGCCGATTTCAAAAGAGGAGATTATTAGTGCTCCGCTCGTATTAGTCTTAGTGTGATGTTATATAGCCTTCCTCAATAAGTGGGCTATCTGAGACTGAAGTCGTCGTGGCCTAACAGATAAGTCGTCCGGTGCATTCGTGTTGAAGCGATGCACCGGTGTTCGAATCCCGCAGGCGGGTACCAATTTTTCTAATGAAATACGTACTCAACAAATGTTCACGATTGACTTCCACGGTGAAGGAATAACATCGTGTAATAAAAATTAAACCCGCAAAATTATAATTTGCGTAATTACTGGTGGTAGGACCTCTTGTGAGTCCGCGCGGGTAGGTACCACCACCCTGCCTATTTCTGCCGTGAAGCAATAATGCGTTTCGGTTTGAAGGGTGGGGCAGCCGTTGTAACTTACTTGAGACCTTGGAACTTATATCTCAAGATGGGTGCCGCATTTACGTTGTGGATGTCTATGGGCTCCAGTAACCACTTAACACCAGGTGGACTGTGAGCTCGTTCACCTATCTAAGCAATAAAATAAAATAAAAAAATAAAATAAATATATATTTTTTTTCAAATCGGACCAGTAGCTCCTGAGATTAGCGCGTTCAAACAAACAAACTCTTCAGCTTTATAATATTAGTATAGATTAGTACTTTATTTAATGTAATGTATTAATTGTTTTCCTTCATTTATTTTTCCACAATCCGACATGCNATTGGGAAAGTCGAAACCGAAGGTACTGAGCTTGAATCTGTTTATAAGGGACCTAAAAGACTAAAACACACATTAAAAACAAAAGAAAAATTAGGCAATCCAGGCGCTAAGTAACAGAAATCGACATAATTACTTCAGTGTCCAACGAAGGCCGAAGGGCACTGGTGACCTGCACGGCAGTCAACGTGTTAATATGTCACTTTACGTTTAACATTTTTTAAGGGATTTTATGATCTGGTAACTAAGACCTTTAAGTCATGTCTTATTTTAATTTATATTCTTATTTTTATGAAAAATGATAATATGGAGTGAAATGAAATGAAATGAAGATGATTAATTTGAGACATAGTCAATTGGAATGAAATGAAATGAGATGAGAGGATATGAGATGAGATGAAATATAATCTCAGTAAAATAGTGGTCATTTACTGAGACTTTTTCTGTGGACTTTTTGGAGGATCCCGAGAAGTTACATCCAGCGACTTTGTTTCATTTTCCCACATTTGTGCACTTTCACAGATATTAAACAGTTAATAAACCACCGTTATTACACATTTAAACCTGAAGAAACACTAAATAGACAAAAAAACTTCAGAGGTGTCAAGGGACACCCGGATGGAACGAAGTTCCTTTCGATTAATTAGTGAAGGAATTGTAATTTTTTTTTAAAGATATAATAATAAATTACGGCATTATGAAGAAGAAAAAGACAATACTATGAACTAAATTACTATTGTTGAAACGCTATCTCGAGAAACTGTACTCATTACGCGGACCAATCGGATACGAGCAATGTCAGGCGATAAGCGCCTACACGTTGATTGGTCAGAATGACGGATCTAAAAAGTGTCGTGACAACTTTTCGTAAGAATTTTTTCCGTCTAGCCCCCTTTCACAACGCGCGATAAGGAACTTCGTTCCAAAAACAAATCACACAACTTCACTGCTCGCGTTCCCGCCAAAAAGTTCCCCTTAGTAAATTAATTTTAGGTTAAAGTAGTAATTGTTTGCTTGTCTACGGTTTATAGTCCGCAATAACACCTGATTATAGTTAAATTTTGATATATGGATCAAACCGCCGAACGCTATGATGTGTCATACTTCAAACGAGGCTTGTGGAGAGTAGATAACGGTAGACAGCGGCTTGGCTCTGCCCCTGGTATTACTGATATCCATAGGCGACGGTAACCACTCACCACCGGAGGGGCCGTATGCTCTTATGCATACATCATAATCAGTTGCTCTTGGCAGAGCAGTCGTGGTCATGTGGAATTATTGCTTATTAAAGCCTTGACAGATGTTTTCTATAGTTTGCGAACCGAGGCCCGGCGCACACACTCGTTAAGTGGGGTCTCAGTAAGGTCTTTCACCTGATCAGTCCAGCGCATGGGGATTCGTCCACGAGATCTCTTACCATTGAACGGTTGGACCGATTTGGCTAATTTTGGTCTTGAATTATTTGTGGAAGTCCAGAGAAGGTTTAAAAGGTAGATAAACATGAAAATGCTCGGAATTAAATAAAAATAACAATTTTGTTTTTCCTTTGATGTGTCCCCCGTCGGGCGGATTCCTTTTGTTTGTTTTAAGCTAGTTTTATACAAAAATTTAAATAGATATTTTATTTATCGATTGAGGCACTACGAAGTCTGCCGGGTCAGCTAGTAAACAATAAATAGCTTGTATGCATAAAAGGGCAATAAAACAAGCCTCCCTCGTACAGTCCTACAAAGAGTATGTTAGCGTCACGCGGCGGTCCCCACTCACCTCCACATCCCTCTGGAACTCAAACAAATCTATTCGTTGCCAGTTGGAGCCGTCGAGCGCCAGAATATTCCATAGCTTGGAGACCTGTAACGATCAGCTGTTATGTGTTTTTGTTCGTATTCTATCAAGCACTTATTCTAAGCTCGCAGTGAATCCAGTTTGAGGGACACTTATTCAGTGTGCGTAATTTTAAACTTTTTCGTCTGTGTGTCGCATGTCGCGTGACGGTCGGCCGCGGAGTAGGGATAAAGTGAAAGGCGCTCGTCAGAGCAGCCAAGGCCAATATGGCGGCGCGTATAGTTCGCAGCAGCTGACCGTGTAGTGTATAGACTATTACTCATTAGTGCCAGTGCTCCACGCTATTTTGTTTGTTTTTGTCAGTGCTTAATGTAAATGTTGTTTGTCAGAGTCAATGTCTATAATGTGAAAAAAAATATTCACTTTTACCGTGGTTTCATAAAACCACACATTTTTTTCTTAAATGTGTTGACGAACTCACAACCCACCTGTTCTTAAGTGGTTACTGGAGCCCATAGACATCTACAACGAAAATACCACCACCCACCCTGAGATACAAGTTCTAAGGTCTCAGTATAGTTACAACGGTTGCCCTACTCTTCAAACCGAAACGCATTACTGCTTCACGGCAGAAATAGGCGGGATGGTCGCACCTACCCATGCGGACTCACAATAGTTTTTTAATGTCTTCGATAGCGTAAAAGTTAACTCCAATTTGTATGCAGTTGGAACAGCGATGCTAACGGCAAACGTTCCAACTCCATACAAATTTGAGTTAACTTTGACTCTATCGAGAACGTTAAAACACTCGCACCAAGCACGGTGCTCGATTTTCGCTATTAAGACCCCGGCGTTAGGTTCTGGGGGTCACAAACCGTTTTAAATCTAATTCGGTATAACTCACAATAGGTACCGTCGACCCGGAAACTTGAGGTCGGGGTCATGAATAAATTGAATTATATGCAAATAAAATTAAATTAAATTTTAACACGTGCAAATATGTAGTACTAACCGGTAATGCTAGTTTTAATTATTTATTTTTAATGTAATTTTAATACGCAATGGTGCTTCTATGATTGGTTTGCAAATCTAATATAATATTGTTTATTTTCCCAGTGACTGGTGCTGCCAAACTTGAGACATAAAGTCTCCTATGCCTTACTATAGCAGAACTTAAGAAATGTTCACGATTGACTTCCACGTTGAAGAATAACGTAATGTAATAAAAACCAAACCCAAGAATTATAATTTGCGTAATTACTGGTGGTAGGACCTCTTGTGAGTCCGCACGGGTAGGTACCACCGCCCTGCCTATTTCTGCCGTGAATCAGTAATGCGTTTCGGTTTGACCTTAGAACTCATATCTGAAGGTGGGTGGCACATTTACGTCGTAGATGTCTATGGGCTCCAGTAACCACTTAACACCAGGTGGGCTGTGAGTTCGTCCATCCATCTAAGCAATAAAATATATATATAAAAATGAATTGCTGTTCGTTAGACTCGCTAAAACTCGAGAATGTCTTGAATTATTTGTGGAAGTCCAGAGAAGGTTTAAAAGGTAGATAAATATGAAAATGCTCGGAATTAAATAAAAGTAACAATTTTATTTTTCTTTTGATGTGTCCCCCGACGGACGGATTCCTTTTGTTTGTTTTAAGTTTATTTTATACAAAAGTTTAGGTCTTTTGTTTATCGATTGAGGCACTACGAAGTCTGCCGGGTCAGCTAGTACACACATATATATATATATATATTTGAAGAGCAGTACCTGCGCACATCTGCACAGCGACACCACGTCTAAGTACGACAGTATCCTCAGCAGCAACTCCTTGGGCAGTTTCCTGTTGATGTGGTTCTCATCTTCGTTCGTAAAACGAGTTATCTGTAACGTAAAATAAAACTTTTACGATTCTTATTCATATTCCATTTCACTGATTAGCAATGACGCATTTGCATTAGAAGCAAAATTATTATTATTACATTACATTGTGTATTTGTATGTATACATATTTATAAATACTAGAGGTCCCGCAGTAGTCGAAATTCGACTAAGTATAATTAATTGGAATTGTAAGTTTGTATACTATTATGATTGTATTTTATACTTCTATAATCACAAATTTCGCCAAGGCTACTCTATAAAAAAATATTAATAAAGACAAACAATATTTAATCTATTCTCAATTTGACAACAGACGTCAAGAACAAAAGTTTGACAATAAATAGTATGCATGCGTGTGTGCGTCAAATACATGGTATGTAGTGTGTGTAATGTTTTCTTTATTGATTTAATGTATCTTTTATGCATTATTTAAAAAAAATATTAGCATTGTGCACTCCTTCTCTATATTCTCTATAAGTGTGAGATATTTCATACTCCTCCGTCCGCGCAATTTTCGTAAAAAGGGATACAAAGTTTTTGTTTCATTAATATATAGATTTAAATGTGTGGTATTTGTGTATGTATGTGTATGTTGAATTGAAATATAGATAATATTTCAATTGATTGGTACACCGCGTGTAGTTCGTTTACAAATGTCCACCTGATGGTTGTCTGGAAGAGATCGCTCTTTTTTTTTATTGCTTTATACCAGCTACTTCCATTTGTCTCCATACAAAGACGGGCTGTTCGGATGGTCGATAGTCCTGCTCTCGCGGATCGCTTGGAGCCTCTGGGTCTACGGAGGGACTTCGGTTCTCTGTGTTTTATACCGTATGGTCCATGGGGAATGCTCTGAGGAATTATTCGAGATGATCCCCTCATCTCCTTCTTATCATCGCACCTCCCGCCGTCGGGGCAGAGTTCATCCATATTATCTGGAACCGCTGCGTTCATCGACAGTACGTTTCCAGAGATCTTTTTTGCCACGTACCATCCGGCTTTGGAATAAGCTCCCCTCCACGGTCTTTCACGAGCGCTATGACATGTCCTTCTTCAAACGAGGCTTGTGGAGAATACTTAATGGTAGGCAGCGGTTCGGCTCTGTCCTCTGCCCCTGGAATTGCTGACGTCCATGAGCGACGGTGACCACTTACCATCAGGTGGGCCGTAAGCTCGTCTACCTACAAAGGCAATAAAAAATAAAAAGCTTAGATGTGTGGACAAGCTCACAGCCCACCTGGTGTTAAGTGGTTACTGGAGCCCATAGACATCTACAACGTAAATGCGCCACCCACTAGTAAACATGTTATTACTAAATAAGCTGTATTAACAGCTTTAAAATGGGAATGATAAGTTATATTGTGATTGATTAAAATGATAAAGTTTTTGTACTAAGAATGCGAAATCGTTTATTGAGCAGTTCTTGGCTCGTCAAGGATGATTTCAAGACAGCTTTCTTCACACTACAATTTTTACTGGTAGTAGGACGTCTTGTGAGTCCGCACGGGTAGGTACCACCGCCCTGCATATTTCTGCCGTGAAGCAGTAATGCGTTTTGGTTCGAAGGGTGGGGCCGCCGTTGCCCTTAAAAAACGGAGACATTAGGATTTATATCTCAAGATGGGTGGTAGCACTTACATTGTAGATATCTATAGACTCCGGTAACCCCTTAACACCAAGCGGGCCGTGAGCTCGTCCACCCATATAAGCAATAATGAAAAAAAATACCCTGGAGTACTTTTCTTTCACAGCGATGCGCGACCGCCTTTGTATTGGAACACAAAATATAGACATAAATCACGTCACGTGGGCAGCTGCGACACACAAAGAGTCGTACCGCTTCCAACCAGTGTCACGAGACAACCACATGAGAGTTATGTTCAGAGTTGTGGGTCAATGGATAGATTAAGGACCGTTAATTCATTTGCAGGAACACACCAGATGCAAACTGCTTACAACTGGTTACTCTATATATATGGTAGGGCTGGATTCCACAATGCTATTTATTCATATATAGCTACTAAACAAATAAAAAAAGGAAATGAGAATCAGTTTTATTTTTATTTTTATTATTTGCAGATTGCAGATAAATATAGAGAAAAAAAAAATTTTAAATGTGCCACCCAGCTTGAGATATAAGTTCTAAGATCTCAGTATAGTTACAACGCATTACTGCTTCACGGCAGAAATAGGCAGAGCGGTGGTACCTACCCGCGCGGACTCACAAGAGGTCCTACCACCAGAAACAACAGTTGACAAACAAAGAAGAATAAGACACTTAATTATTGAGTCTTTGCTTATCTCAATTTAGACTATCACATAATTCCCTATATTAACTATTTAAGAAATTGTTTTATTAATAATAAACAATACACACATGTTTTTGCTTAGTTATAGAAAAACAAATTTAAGGAACCAGACCCAGGACAAAATAAATATTGCAGTCGCAGTAATTTATCTATTAAACCATTGGGTAATTACACCGTACACTTGGTAATAAATAGATAGATAGATTAGATCTATCACTGGATCAGCTCTCAACCCACTGAGAAGATCTTACAAAAAGCTCAGTGGGCTGTATCTATGGATTATTTTGCTTGTGGTTTTTTTATCTATGCGAACAAATAGGATTATGTCGGCAAGAGTTATTCTAACAAAAACTGACTGTGAATGAGGTACCTACACACGGGTTTGTTTGTGAGCCATCATAACCACATCCACGTGTGAGATCTATGCCATCAAAATGACTATAGACAAGGTTGTAAATTGTACTGCAGTCTGTACAGTGTCAGGAATAGAAAAACACACCGGGTGAACTCTGTGGGGTCTTAATTGTATTGTATAGTGGCTCTCTGGACCTACCGGGACACATGGCATCATAGCAGAAATAGTCGGAGTGATGATTCTTATCCTGAGATTAAAATACACCATACTACCAATGACTGTGTTTTATTATTGATTTTTAAGAGCACATCCAATGTTGTTTTATCTTGTATTATTTAATGAGTAATTAAGGTTTGTTGAAGTCTAAGATGATGATGATGATGATAAAGGCGGTTAAGTAAATGACAGCACTTTGAAGAGTATATTTACTAGAGACAAGGGCTCAGAAGGTGTCAAAAGTCCATGGTGTTTCTTAACTAAGTTGATGTCTCTTTTACTGTGTTTGTCTCTTTTGATGTATTTTCTATCACTGCTGTTGGAGAATGCCCTTAGTATTTCGAATACTTATACCCATTTAATGTAATCTAAATTACATTTAGCAGCCACTTTTAAAAATTTCTTTAGATCTTACCTCAGTGCTTAAAAAGTTTCCTCTAATTAGGAGTCTAATTATTCATTCCATAACTGTCATAGCTAATGTCAGAATGTGAATGTTTTATGTCATGTATCTCAATACAATCAACAAATTGGAGAAAACTGGAAATACTGAACTCACTATGTATTATTCTAATATATTGTTTGTTATATACCCTGGAGACTAGAAACATATTGTATAATTTCTACACAATGCAGCACTATTGTCTAAATCTAGAATATGAAACTTTAATTAGAATACTATCAGCGGCATTGTAATTTTTCTTGGGAGAATATACTGGCCTGATTTTTTTTAAAGATAATAGGTAGGTGCTTTTCCTAACTCTTATCCTTCACAAATGTATGTTAGGCAGTTAACCATGTTACAATGAGGAACATGTTATTGTATGATGTGTAATTTAAGATGTTCTGCATTTTTATTACAAATATATGTCATAAATTTTAATATGGAAGGTTTTTTTTTTTCGAGTTATAGTTTAGTTTTTTTTATTATAAATAATAAAAAATAAATAAAAATTCTACAGTGCATGTATTTATACATAATTATAGTATTATTAATGTGTGTGCAAATGTTAAATTAATTTCCTTAATTTCGATAGAATCATAACGGTAGCGACGCATGAGTTGAGTGTCCGGCGCACGCGCAGGTCGTTTACACTGACCCGAACAAAGAAAAGCAATTAAAACAATTGTGATTTCTTCATTTTTAAATCACTTTTTACAGTTGGATGATTTTAATGAAAAAAAAAAGTATGTAACCGGAATGAATTAATATGTAAGATTACATGTATTAAAAAGTAAGATTGACAAAAACGGAACGTAAAACATTGAATTTAAAAATAGAACATGTTTATATTTTGGCAGGTTTCACACTCGCGATATCCTATCCTAAATAAATGTCATGTACATATGATTTGTTTCAATAAATACGTATTTATGTAAAGAACAAAGGAATTAATTCGAATTCCATGTCAGCTGTTCATGTGAAAAAAACACAAACAAAGATACTCATCAATTTACCTCGAATTTACTCCTCCCAGAATGCGTCATGCTCGGGTACGGCGTTACTTTCGCCACGCTGCTATGTTATTTAACCAAAACGCCGGCACTAAGCAGTTATTTCACTCAGAGACGTAGTACAAAACAAATATGGAGGAAATTTATTTGATTTTCGCAGACAAGAGATTTGATGGCCTTCGTCAGCTGCGGCCAGTGCTGCCAGACTAAAACGTAAATACTCCCGTATTAACTATTTTTGAGCATTAACTGTAATGAATTGTGGAGTTATTGTGTAACATAGTTGTTTCCGATTTCATCTGTTTTGTGTGTTCGTTTACTGGACCTTTGACTTATTTGCCAACCGTAATGTCATGTATTTCTTGGGCGCTTCTTGTAGTTTTTACATTAATTTAAAAACCCTTCTGGAATGGTATTTTCTTGAAAAACCGGATCAATAAAAGAAGTTTTCAAATAAAGCTCTCACTTCAGGAAATATCATTTCCTATTGAAGTCCTTCAAACAAACACACCCTTAAGCTTGTCTGTTCCAAAATTTGATTGAAGCAATTTTGAGTGTTTTCGTTCGTCCTAAGTACTTACTTAAATCAATTATGGTCAGTGGTTTTCTTTATATTCTTATTTTGATTGAAAATAAGCCGTCTAGTGGCCGACGCCCGTAAACAGAATGTGTATAAGAGAAATGACCTAACTCGCTTTCTTCTTTTCTCCACGGTCGAGTGGTTCGCGAGAGGCTCTGTCTATTCTCACTCTCACTCCCGTAATCTGTATATTTTCTCTCTAACCGTAACGACCCTGTCACGAGTTAAATTTTACTCTGAACGTGCCTAAAGAAGTTTCACTTCAAAAATTGATAAGAAGTTTTACCGATACACTCTCGGTGCTTTTAGGCTTTTTCTAGAATCGGCCACTGTTCTCGTTGAACTCCTCGAAGATTTCAACATGCGACGTAATCTACAGACAGAATCAACTCAGATCCAAACCAAATCTTATCAGCGGGTCGCGATTCCGATCCAGTGGTAGATCCAGCAAAGCACTGCTTTTGCTAGAGCAAATGTCAAAATGATCTAAATTAAAGTCAAAATAGTCGCTCAAGGCTATTAGCAAAAAGTTGTAGGCAAAACAAGCGCCTAAAAATTGTCCAAAGTTAATTTGAAATTTGTCTTGGTGTTATTTTCCAATTTTTCATAAGCTGGTAACATTATAACACGTTCCAAAGATTTGCTTTAAGACGACTGCAAATTTTCACATACAATATTTATTCTTCACTTTAACTAGATCATTTTCCATATAGCCATCCTGTTGTCGGATATGCAAATATTTCTCAAACATGGAGTTAATAAAATAGTAACTATATGTTCTCAAATTAATGATATAAAATGTTTTGTTGTCAGATAACAAAGCAATTGTGACAAAAATTATAGTATAATAAAGTAGATATTATCGTTTTATTTTAATTATTTTCAACACCATCGTTCGAGGTTCGAGGATCGAGGAGGTTTTACTTTTTTGTATGTAGACAACTAAACACATCATTATTGTAAACACTTAGGTAATTACATAGTCATGTTACTTTGTGTTTTGTATTATTATATTCACGATAAGAAAGGTTTCTTTAGATAGGGTGTTGAGCTCACAGCCCATCTGGTTTTAAGTGGTTATGGTTTTAAGACATCTAAAGCATGAATTCCGTCACCCATCTTGAGACATAAGTTCTAAGTTCCAGTTTTACAGTACAACGGCTGCCCCGCCCTTGAAACCGAAACGCATTACTGCTTCACGGCAGAAATAAGCAGGGCGGTGGTACCTACCCGTGCGGATTCACAAGACCCTACAAATACTAAAGATACTTTAACATTTTTATTATTATTTCTCCCTGTCTATTTTATGGTGCACCACCCGAAACTTTTTTTTATTGCTTAGATGGGTGGACGAGCTCACAGCCCACCTGGTGTTAAGTGGTTACTGGAGCCCATAGACATCTACAACGTAAATGCGCCACCCACCTTGAGATATAAGTTCTAAGTTTTCAAGTATAGTTACAACGGCTGCCCCACCCTTCAAACCGAAACGCATTACTGCTTCACGGCAGAAATAGGCAGGGTGGTGGTACCTACCCGCGCGGATGCACAAGAGGTCCTACCACACAAAGCCACTAGTCATTCGTACCACGCTCGACACTGATTATTTGTTGTTTGTTATTAATATAATTTTGTAAGTGTCTTTTTATCAATTTACGTGTTTTATTATCTGATTAATTTCGATATGAAACGGTTATTTACTAAATAAATAAGAAGGATTGAGTTTTGTTTTGCGTAGTGGCAGTTGGTCTCGGGTTAGCATTGTCCTTTTTTAGGATTGGGACGACTTACTAGTACCTACTACTACGTACTACTGAATAAGGGTGAGACCGATATATTAGTATTCATTATGATATTCGTAATACAGCTTGTATTACGAATACCGTATTAAGTCTATTAATAATCAACTATAACTTATTTCACGAATACCGTATTAAGTTTAACTCGTTTACCCGTTTTATCGAAGTATATTAAGATATCAGGATATTCACGTATTAGTTGGTTCAGGTATTATAATATTACATCATGAATATATTAATATTAGCTAATATTGACAAATATCGGTATTAACCCATCTTTACTACTGAACTAGGCACGTACCTACTTAGTTCATGTTGGATGTTCAAGGAGATAAATAGATACAGTAATTAAACAACTTCATTTGCTTTTGTTTTTATTGTACACCACACATGATATATAAGAATATAAAAAATATAAAAAATAAAACTTTTCAAAATTGATTAAAACACTATTTATTAATCATGTGTTCATTTTGTTTGGTTAATCAGTACAATTAGTACAATTTGATACATTTAAAATTTCGAAAATGAATAAAACAAACACAAGATGTAATTAAAAAGTGTTTTAAATGATCTGCAACTCGCGAGACGACATTAAAAGACAGTAACGCCGTGATGATGACAGTGGAATCCATCCTATACCTTAATAAAAGGGTCAGCGATGGGATTATCAACCTTGTCGAACGGGTAATACGGGTGGTTCTGCCAAAACGACGGCAGGGTGTATCTGGTATGTGTATCGAACCCGTTAATCTTCTCGACCTCGTCCGGTGTAAGAGTGAAGTCGAAGATGTTAATGTTCTCCTCCAGGCGTTTCGGGTTGACGGTTTTGGGGATTGGCACGACTTTGCGCTCAATCTGAAAATTACAAGGTTGGTATCTATTAAATCGACATAAGTACTTTACGTTTTTTTTTATTACTTAGATGGGTGGACGAGCTCACAGCCTACCTGATGTTAAGTGGTTACTGGAGCTCATAGACATCTACAACGTAAATGCGCCACCCACCTTGAGATATAAGTTCTAAGGTCCCAGTATAGTTACAACGATTGCCGCACCCTTCAAACCGAAACGCATTACTGCTTCACGGCAGAAATAGGCAGGGTGGTGGTACCTACCCGCGCGGACTCATGAGAGGTCCTACCACTAGTAATTACGCAAATTATAATTTTGCGGGTTGGTTTTTTATTACACGATGTTATTCCTTCACCGTCGTACCTATCGGGAGGAGCAATTACTGACGTCTCCGTGTCCCGAATGACGTCACACGGCGCCGAGTCAGTAATTTGAAGGCTTGCTCACTATCTAATCAATAATTGACTTACCACACCTTTTACGACCTGATCTCGCTCTTAATATTATCAACTTTTTATCACGTAGGTTGTTGAATACCACACTACCACGCCTATCTTTAGACAAGAGGTCTATCTCGGCCTTGGAACGCAAGACGTTTAGTAGATTAATCCCTGAGTCATCTTCCGATAACTACGGGAATGGTCCATAGTACTTTAAGCCGACACCGCACTCGGAGTATATTACAATTGCCAGTAGTGGTCACGGGAGATTGAGGTGTTGTGCGTTGTACGTCGGCATTTGATTATTGATCTAACTACAGTCTTAAGTTTTATTAATAAAAATCAAACCCGCAAAATTATAATTTGCGTAATTACTGGTGGTAGGACCTCTTGTGAGTCCGCACGGGTAGGTACCACCACTCTGCCTATTTCTGCCGTGAAGCAGTAATGCGTTTCGGTTTGAAGGGTGGGGCAGCAGTTGTAACTATAATTGAGACCTTAGAACTTATATCTCAAGGTGGGTGGCGCGTTTACGTTGTAGATGTATATGGGCTCCAGTAACCACTTAACACCAGGTGGGCTGTGAGCTCGTCCACTGATGTAAGCAATAAAAAATAAAAAAAATCGCATATACGCTACATACTGGTTTAAGGAAATGGAGCATTACCAGTCCGTGTACTCTTTTGAAGAATTTTATCAGACCTTGATAGTGCGGAATCCTGCGCAGTAACACCAAAGGAAACTCAGTTATCCCCACTTAAATCTCGATTTGAATACACTTACCAATGCATTTGAGCTTTCAATTACTTGAACGACGTCTTATGGCAAACGTCGGCACTCTAGCTGGATTGGCCCTAAAATTGTCTCTCCATCGCAGCCAATGAATAACAGTAAAAATTCTCTTCAAATACTAACCTGCCATCTCAAGACAATTTGAGGAGTGGTCTTCCCGTATTTCTGGGCGATGGAGCTGAGCACTGGATCGTCCATCTTGGGCCCTTCGACTGTCGAACCATGTCTGGCTACCAAGGAACCGAAAGGAGAATAGCCCATGACTACAACACCTTCAGACTGACAAAATTCCACCATTTCTTTCTGAACGTTTTGGAGGTGAACCTATAAGTAAAAACAAATGTACTTGATAGTAACAAAAGCAACTTGCAATCTGGCAAGAGTCTGGCAGCATCCAAACACATCTCTACCTCTATTTGAATAGCATCAGGTTTGATAGTGCCTTCCTTCAGCACCCTCTCCAACTGCTGCTTGTTGAAGTTAGACAGTCCGATGCCTTTAACTATACCCATTCGCTGAGCATCTTCCAATCCTCGCCAGGTCTCCATGAAGTCCACGTCCGAATGACTGTAATCGGCCTGTTTAATAACAAAATATTTTTTTACATAATCATTTAAAACATTAAGCTTTTGGTATCTTCATGGTTCAAACCATGTAGAACATTTAAATAGTTCATAATAGCGGGTGGTCATTAAAAACAAATAAATTGATGATATTACAGCGTAGTATGTGACTTAAATGAGTGTAAGTTTTATAAATTTAATGACGAAGGATCTCACATTTAATCCAATGGGCCAGTGCATCAAATAAAGATCTATATAATCCAGACCTAGTTTCTTCAGTGAATCGTTTATAGCTTGGGCTACTTCAGTTCTCCGGTGCTGGGTATTCCACAGCTGAAACAATTGAGCAACACGATTTAGAAACAGCAAACTTATAATCTAGGCCTTTAGCAAAGATCCGACGAACCAATGTCCTTAGTTCCTTACATGGAGAGCATCTTTAGAAAATGTCGAGTCAATACTGTCACTTGTGTTTGGTTATACCTTCCTCGCCTTTATTAATTAGGCAAATAAAAAAAAGAGATTTCAATTTCAAATCAAATACCTTAGTAGTGATAAAGATATCTTCTCTTTTGACGACTCCTTCCTCTACCTTCATCTTCACGGCTTCTCCAATTTCTTGTTCAGTTTCGTAAACGGAGGCGGTGTCGAAATGACGGTATCCGACATCTATGGCGCGCATGACAACATCACGGAGCTGCTTGTTCTTGGACGTCACTACACCGTTCTGAAATAACCCACATTGTTGACCGGGGGCTTCCAAGCTTAGTTCCGTCGATGACAACAACCCAGCCTCCAAATACATTCAGTCGATATATCAAAAAACAAACTAGAGGTTTTATCACGATAAAGCCTCTGGAGGGTCGATTTGATTAGTGGTTTGATATTGCTTACACCTGTTATCTGCATCTATGAGTTCCGGTTTGAATTCAAAATAGTCAAAACGGCGGAACGTACCGCGTGCTAACAATATGTCCCTCTACCACCAGTAAATGCCAATTAGCGTTCGAAGTTGGCCGGTACAATACGCTTTATACGACGCCCTCGGGGTGGTACTATTCTAAGCCGACACCCGGACACAAAAGTCTTAAAATAACAAACCGAAATTCTCAGCATGACATTTGATGAGGGGGACCCATAGAGCCACACGCGTAGTACATTCCGGTAAGCCCTCACCCGCTGCATCGTCTATTTTCGACAGAAATGCATCTCGCTGCATGTGAGTTATTTAGAATAGAAATAAATTATACTGTTGGTCCATGAAAATACCATCCACATTCGTTTTTTTTTCGCTAGTGATTAAGACGTTGTACATGCGTTACGAGTGTGTGTATACTTAGTCTGGCCATAAATACTGTTACAATTAAAAAAAAAAACTATTGCAAATAACATTTATTACTTTTACAGTGTGTTAGTTTAATACATAAATATAAAACAATTTCAAGTCTAAAAAGCTTATTCGAAGTGGTCTCCATTGGGTGCAATACAGTCCTTTAAACGTTGAGGCCTGGCTTATTCTTAGTTGAACGTGGGATCGAATTATTAATAAATCGACGTACATAGGCAAGTACACGTTGCATTTTGTTAATATCAGAAAATTTATTAAGAAAATCTAAATTTAAAGAATTAGTTTCCTGACCACAAACCATAGCACTCGAGAGGAGCAGAGGATCAGCAGCATCACCAGACTTCAGCTCAGTTATCAATAGAAGCACGCACTCTTTCCATGGGAAAATTTTTCACTGCCAATCGTACGGATTGTTTTAGGAACTCCAAATTATCATGAAGTTTAGAGCAAGCCGTACTCTCTAAAACTGACTATAAATCATAATACAGCGGATTAAGATTGGGACTAGACGACGGCCAGTCTTCAGCTCTTGAAGTCCGAAACGTTCGTTTCCAACTAAGACTGCGTAGACCGAGCTTTATGACCTGGCGTCGAGTCTTGCTGGAAGGACCATTCTTGATTATTGAACATGGTTTTATTAAGGGGCTTTACTACCTTCTCAAGAATGGTATCTTGATACACTTGTGCCGATGTTTTGATACCTTTTTCGCAAAAGTATGGCTCAGTCACTCCTTCATAGCTAATACCCCAGCAAACCATCACTGAAGTGAGATAGTACACACGTTGCACTCTGTCAACTAATTGGGAAGCTTCCTTAGAGCTTTGAGCATAAATACGGTCATTTTGTTTGTTAAAATGTTGCTCAATTGTAAAAAAAATCTCATCCGTAAACAAAATTTTTCTATGACCTCCCTTTGCGTACCGCTTCAGTAGTTGTTTCGATTTTCCACCCTATTCTCTTTTAAATTATCAGTTAAGAAATGACCAGTACGTCTCTTATAGGCTGCAAGTCCCAAGTCATCTTTTAAAATACGCGACATGGTTCTAGGTGCTATCTTTATCTCCCGAGATAAAATATTTTGCTTTCGGGCAGGATTTCTTCGAATTCTTTCCCTTACTGCTTTGACCACCTTTTTCGTACGAACACTACGTGGACGGCCATATCTTTTTCTGTCAGAAACAGAGGAGGTCTCATTGCACCTATTAATAGCCCGGCCCGGTACACAAACATTTTACTAATACCAAGCGTATGGAGAGTTTTAAAAATTGCATTTGGCTCCATACTTACTTTGTGTAATGCAATCACAGCGATTCGGTTCTCTTTATCACCCCACTCCATTTTATTATCGCAAAATATTGTACAATGTATTGGCGCCAAAATGAGAAAACTCAATGAGCAATCATATAAAAATGACAGATTCCAAATTCAAATGTAATATTTTGTTTATTTTTAATTGTAACAGTATTTATGGCCAGACTAAGTATTTTCCTTATGGACATGTGTAACACATAACTGGTAGCTTAATTTGATAGGTATTTGGAGCATATAATTGCTTGAAAATTAACAATAAATTTAATTAAGTCCCAAATCGTTTAGGAATGAACTAATGAGCTTATAAGCGCTCTTCTGGGTTCTAAGAAATGCGGTGTTATCGCACCAATATAAATAAAATGCTTGTTTTTTTTTAAAGTAACTTCAACGTGTTTACGTTTTGTACATATTTTGTTCTTGTTTATCGCTCTTTGAGGTGGTTATCGGAATCTTCACCTTAAGGTTTATTAACCCCTTACTTATTGCTGATTACTCATGTCCTTGAACCACGAAAAATAGAACGATATATTTGGTCTAATAGGTGTGTTGATATACATGATATAATTACCTGATCAAACCCAAGGTACGTGCCCAGGCCGATGGCGGGCATGTCTCTGCCGTTGTTCATTTTTAACGAGGGCACTTCCATCGTTGACGCCAGCTGAGAAACGAAAATGTTTCTTTAATATTGCTTTAGATCAGCCTTTCTCAAAGTGGGCGATAACGCCCCCTCGTGGGCGCTGTAGGCTTAAAGGGTAAGAGAACCAAAAAAAGGGGACGTTGTGTAGAAGCTTGGGAGGCGATTTCATCTAGGAAGACTCTTAGACAGCGACTGAGCTCTCTGAAAAAACGGGGGCGCTAAAAAATTATTTATTCTCAAAGTGGGCAGTAGACAAAATAAGTTTGGGAACCCCTGCTTTAGATGGACAAACAAACTGGCGGCATCTGGTGCTGTCTGGTGTTGAGCAGTTATCGGAGCCCATAGGCTATAGCTGTCACGATCATATGAAGTCTAATATATAAGCTACTTCTAGTTACATTCTTTTACTTTATCATTTCATAAAAAGTTTGAATGACAAAAAAATAACAAACTTCCTACAAATCTAGGGTGTTCGGTACAATAGATTGACGCCATTATACATTATATATATTATCTGTATACCCAATGAAACAAGTCAACTTTAAGATAGGCTAAATAAATTGAAATTAATATCTAAGAAATAAAAAAAAAAACAGTAAAGTGTGACGTAAAATAATGAACGAATATACTCAACTAACAGGTACTCAATAAAAATATATAAAAGTCGCCAGCGGATATAATAGAGTAGATATTTTTCGAGATATGGAGTTGGTTCTGCAAGAAAGATAAAAGTGATAAATGCAGTACAAAATATCTTAAGATTTAAGACCTCCAGACGTCCATAAGGTCGTCTAGAGGTCGAACTTCAAACATAAAAAAGTTGTGCGCGTCTAATTTGTAATAATAATTAAGGTACTTCAACGTCGACGCGGAATCATTCAAGCAGTCGACGTCGCCCAAAGCACGTCATTTCGGATCCTCCCGATCCACTAACGGTGCTTCTAGGTACCTCAAGCACTGGTCATCGTTCTCGTCGAACCCGTCGCTTGCGACGAAGAGCTCGACGAGTAAATTAACCCTCAGACACAGCCCACTGAGTTTCTCGCCGGATCTTCTCAGTGGGTCGCGTTTCCGATCCGGTGGTAGATTCTGCGAAGCACGGCTCTTGCTAGGGTTTGTGTTAGCAATGTCGTCAGGTTTGAGCCCCGTGAGCTCACCTACTAGTTAAGGTTACGCTCAAAAACACTCTCAAGGCTATCAGCATAGGTAGGGAAAAAAAGTCAACGCGGGAAGGTAGTTTAATATTATCTCCGGCCTTCGCGCGACGTGGACATAATCAAAACTGCTTTTACATTTTAATTTCGACTTTTTATTTTATTTTAGTAATGTACCTATGCTATTTCCGATGTTTCGATTTCTATACAGTCGTCCGTGATCACGGGAATTAATGGGACAATAAATTACGAGAACAATGACAGCAATAAACGCGAGATTAAACCGGGAAAGTAGTTTAATTAGGGTACTTTGACCCTTGAGTAGTTTGTAATGACCTTAAATGATAACACCTAATGACCTCTCAACACTAGTCCGCAGCATCGGTTCACGACTTAACCTAACCTAATCTATCCTAAGAAGGAGGGAGCCTGGAGATCAGTAATACAGGTCTTTGAACCTAGTACAGACTTCAGCTCTTTCAAAGGCTTACAAAATAAATTATAAGGTTAATTTCCATTTGCATTTGTACTATACCTTTAAGAGAGAAATAAATAAATAATAATTATTATTATTATTATAGTTTAAACATAATATATGAAATTCTTGGAAACCGAAACGCATGCTGCTTCACGACAAAAATGGACAGGACTCTTGTAGCTAAGTACCCGTGCTTCGGCTCATACCACCACCAGTATAATTATATTTTTATTATTGTCTAAAAACATAGAATTACGAAAATGGCTGACATTTAAAAATATTAGACTTCTAACGTTAAAAATATGATTATTTTAACTTACTTCTGTTAGATTTTCAACAAGAAACTATTCAACTAAACTGCATATAGTAGATTTCTATTGTCGCGATGCCCGAGCGAATTGTGACTGACGCCAGATACACAATGCGATGAATAAGGAAAGAACGACAGAGTTGTATTAAGTGTACTATCTATGGACAGAATTGTATTGAAGCCAGGTAATCTCAGTAAATGACCACCATTTTACTGCGATTATATTTCATCCCATATCATCTCATTTCATTATATTTCATCCCATATCATCTCATTTCATTAAATTTCATCCCAGTTGATTAATGTTTCAAATTAATCATCTTCATTTCATTTCACTCCATATTATCATTTTTCATAAAATCAAGAATATAAAGTAAAATAAGACATGACTTAAAGGTCTTAGTTACCAGGTCATAAAATCTCTTAAAAAAAAAATGAAGCCAGGTAGATAACCCGCACGGTCAGTATCATCGACATTCCTTTTCATAGCCAACGAGAATTGAATTTGCTATTTGTCCTTTTTGAAATATTCCACATCCACCGACTCCAAGGTGGCATCTTCTGTGCTATGCACCGTGCACAGACAAGAACCAGTGTATACTTAAATTCACAGTACTAAACATATTTTACTAGGATACTGATTCCACTCAATTGAATCCGGTCGGAAAACCCTGCCCAGATTAATAGCAATAAACTGAGGATTTTTTTTTATTGCTTAGATGGGCGGACGAGCTTACAGCCCACCTGGTGTTAAGTGGTTACTGTAGCCCATAGACATTTATGACGTAAATGCGCCACCCTCCTTGAGATATAAGTTCTAAGGTCTCAGTGTAGTTATTCAGAGATACTCTAACTATATTTGTTAAGCCAGCGGCCGGGAGTGATGGGAGCTCGCGCGGGTTGGTACCGCCAACCTATCTAGTACTGTTAAGGTCCACGTAATTGCAAAGCAAATGAGAAAATCGGTTTCACGGAACATAGAAGCTTGAAGCGAGAGCCCCAGGTTGGCTCAGTCCTCATGAACGTCGGCATAGCTGCGATTCGGACACTGTCAAGATGCTGGTCGCCGTTGATGCCGCCTTGGAATAAAAATATGACAGCTCTCCCGATACACCAAGGAAATTTAATTCTAGAACCACGTGATGGCATGTTACAAAATTAATTCTAGAAAAAACACAAATAATGCATCCTAATACGGCCACTGAATACGGGTCTGTAAAATTGTTTTATGAGTACCCTCTACTCCTCTGAATTGTTTTCTTATATCTCGATTAGTTTCAAATGTATGAAATTATTGCAACTTATTTCATTAATTTTTTTAAATCTTTTTTTTTTTTTTTAATTAATTTTGTAAACACAGCTGTTAGAAAAAACACGACAATAAGGATACAGAGTACAAGGGCACTAATTTATAAAATAAACTTAAGTTTCGATTTTGTAAGATTGGCGTGCAATAGGTATGTAATAATTCTATTCCTTTGAAAAAATTTGCACATTAGCACAGGCGTTAGTGAATTTCCTAATATGTTCATTCAATCCCGCGTGTAATTTTAGGTAGGTAATTAACGAGCGGTTCAACTTAAGGCGTGTAGGTATACCCTAAAGGACAATGCCCATTTTCTATGGGCGTTTGGGCCCCTAAAAAAAGTTGTCGCGTGATGATGATTTTAACTTATTTAGATAGACAAAGAAATATCGTTTCATATTCAGAAAACTATTTTTATATTCTCACCCAGGTTTAAGAGAAATTGCTTCGGGAGGTACCTGTGGAAGGTCTGCAGGAGAGAGCCACATCCGGGTTGCCACCAATGCGGGCATCCGGACGATGACGCTCAGCACGCACTCGAAGCGTGCCCGCGTTGGGAGCGCTCGCGGCGAGACCTCATCGCGGTGCTGGGGAGAGACCTCTCCTTGCGGGCTGTCATCGCCCGCATGCTAGAGGACCAGAATTCTTGGGAGGCCATGACCAGGTTTTGCGACCTGGTCATGGCGTTCCGTGAGGCTGAGGAGCGCNGAATTTCCGCAGACCTTTTATCTTGAAAAAAAAAAACAGTCACTGCTATGTTAGCCACAGTTTTATTCCAATGCCTTATTAATCGTGAACAACGATTATTGACGTTTAATACACAAAACAACGCCCAATTTATATATTATACATCACAATAAACTATTAAAAAAACATTAAAATAAAACTTCAAGTGATGCTTCACTCGGGTTGCTGCCAAAACTCTCTGATCATATATAATAAGAATAGAGTAATGGTAGGCCATTGAGATTTTTACTAATGAAATCATTAATATCTAAAAATATTAAATAAAATAACTCATGGTTTTCACTAATAATTATTATTACAATATATAAATATTGAATTGAACAAAAATATACTAAAACGTCTGTGAATTATAACCATTACTTATATTTTTTTAATTTGATGTTCAAGTCACAGATAACTCTTTCGTTTGGCAGAATATAGGTTTACTATAATGCTGTATGGACTAAGCCCTTTGCCTATTGGCGAATTTAAAAACTATGGCACTAAATTTTGTGATGTTATCAAATAAGTAATTTATTTTTTTGTAAAACAATGCCAGGGCGAAAGAAATGTTGATACATAAACTAAACAACGTAAAAAAATAAGGCATAATTTTTCAAGTACAAATAGTTTTGACATACAGTTGGCCCACTTTTGGGCATTGTCCTTTATATACTTATAACAGGTTTTTTTTATTTTAGTGGAATTTAGTTATGGGTTTTTTTTAATCGCCGGTAGCCTAAGGGGCTGTTCCAACCACGTCCGGACGGGTAGGTGAGCTTATGAGCACAACCTGAATAAATTACTCACAAAAGCCCTTGCTAGAGCAGTGCTTCGCTGAATCTACTGGCCAATGATCGGTGACCGGTGCTGGGGGAGCCTAAAATCATCAAAAGTGAATCCAGAACACCTCAATCTCAAACCAAAAACTAACGTTAACATCTCAGAGCTTTTTTAGCTGATTTCAATGAAATAAGTGCCTTTAAGAGTATTTTAGGTAAATCAGTGCGGCAAGAAGGGTTGGATACTATCCGGTGTAGCGACTCA